ACAAAATTATATTTAGCGGTACAAATTAATATGTAATACAAATTCATTCCTTTCTACTTTTTTTTGTACCTTTCTTTTTTTCTGTCAGCCGAATGTGAATCTAACAGCTCCATTGTTTTCTTCAAAATGGCACGGAAAATTATTACAAAATTATTTGTTACAAATTAATACAAAATATTCCAATGGATCCAATTTCTGGTCCTGCCGATTTAATCCTACCGATTTGGTTCCGTCAGCTTCAAAGAGGTGAAATAGTACATTCGCTGATTTTGCACCATGTATTATGTCATATCTATCAACATAATCTTCTTTTGGTGCCCAGCTTACATAATCTTGAGAAATAATTTTCGCATACTATCAATGAACCGTATCGTACGGCCTACTTTTTACTCTGCGAATGATCGTTTTGTCATGGTTTTTCCGTAAATTTAGCAATATATTTCCTGCCAATCTTTAAACAAAATTCTGCCATAATTGCTGCAATAATAATTTTGATAGCAATATAGAGAACGTTTATCCTTCCGATTATTTTTAAACTCGACACTTGCTTTCGCGTCAATTATACAAAGTTCTCAACAATTTCGTACTTTTCCGCGATACTTTCACTATTTGCGCCAGCAATCGACGTCATAGGCATTGGAGAAATTACGAATTCAACGGTGACGTCAGAACAAGGTTAACATTTGCGCGCGTTCGCGGTTTTTTCTTTTATATATTGATATTTTCCTATTCATAAAGAAGGGAAATTCTAATAATATCCTTGATATAATTTTTGTTACTTGGAATATTAGAAACTGTTTGAACTTATGTAAGCGCGTCACAAAGATTGATTATAGAAGACGCCGATAATTGTTTTTTATTATCTCACTTTAAAAATCTTTGCATATATAAGTTAAGTTTAAACTTTAAAAAAAAAACATACATTTACATTATAGATAAGATTCCACGTACAAGTGTTTGAACGAAATCATATTATTTGACCAACACGTGTAACGCAGAATATGCGACTTTTTCTCAGCGGGTTCTAGACCATAATTTCTTTCATGATCGTCGATGAAGTTGACCTCCGAAAAATTTCACGCGTACGCCGTTCGATCGCCGGCGTTTAATCCTCGGTCATTGTCGCCTGACCGTCTAACATGCAACGCAGATCCGTTTTCGTTCTCCGAAACGCGGGCAGGCCGAGGTTAAACGGGGCGATTCGCTGCATCAGCAGCAAGAGCCAGCCGCCGCCTTTCCTAGATCCGGATCTTTCTCGGCGAGACGTGCCGCGCGCGCGCGATGACGCGTTCCGAGTTTAAAATTCGCCGCGGGGTGTGTGTCCCGTTCACGGCGAATGAGCGGACGCGTTGTCGGGGGCTCGTCTCAGCTGCTGCGACGTGTGACGTAACGCCGCTTAAAAGGCGACTCGCGTGAAACGCGCGAATCAGTCGCACGACGCACGCCGCACCGTGCATTGCCGAGGAGCAGAGAGGAGGATTTTCTCGGCCAGGAGGAGGCTGTAGCGCGCTAGTTCATCCAATCCCTCCCTTCCCCTTTCACTCCCTCTTCCTCTGTGTCTCCGCTCATCCTCCCGGTTCCTTCTCCTTTTTTTTTTTTTTTTTACGTCCGTCCCGCGATTCCGTACATCTGGCATTTTCATCCAGGTCAGGGCATTGCGATTAGATCGAGCGCGAGATAACGTCGCCGATTCGCATTACGCTCTCGAGGGATTTACGCGCGATCGAGTTGGCGCTCGATCAGGAGCGGAGCGATATATTTCTGTGCATCCGAAGGAGATCCTCTGACGTAGCGGTGCGACTCTTTTACCGAGAGATTGGAAAGACACGCGAAGGTCGGCTTGCGTGTAAGTACAGACGAGACGCGTGTCGAGATGAGGGATAATTTCAATTGCAATATTAGATATAAATTTTGATCCGTTATATTTTTATAATTTTTTTTTCTAAATATTTCTATTTTTAATTTTAAATTGGATATTTTGCACAATATTGCGAAAGTAGTAATATTACTAAATGACGGCAAAATAAGTCATCCGATAATATCTAGTCATTATTCTAAGTCTTTATCTACCTTTTTAATCCATGTACACTGTCCGACAATGATTTGTTCCGTTTTTCTAATGAGGTGAACGTAGGAGTGGGGACATTTATTCTATATAAAGTATTTACCATATAAAATATTTCGACAATGGGAGGGGATTGACGGCCGTATAACGTTATTGTTTTGATACACTGTCATGTTGTTATCATTTGTACGGCGAAGCTCGAGCAGAAAGGTAGCAATACAAGTCGCTCCGTGTGTCGTCATATCTTTCGAAAGACGTAATTATTTCAAGCAATTACTACAATTTGCGATTAACTTTTTATAAACGTATACCCTCTAAGGAGGCATACCCGTTTGAAACTTCGAAAAATGAGTACATTTTTTTAGATTTTTTTGCAGCGCGACTTGATAAAAATTTTTAATTTTTTTACAATATTAATACAATGTTATTAACTACCCAAATAAAAATTTTCAGCCTAAATTTTTTTTTTTTTTTTTAAGTTATGCGGATATTTGCAAATTTATGTTTTCATGCACGGTGTGAAAACTCGGGCTACGTTCGACGGATTGACTTCAAATTTTACATGCGAGTTTCTAATAAGATTCCGCATCTGCCAACGAAGTCTTTTTTTAATCCGAGTCCCCATTTTTTTGTTATAAAAAAAAGATGGACTTTTTAAAAAAAAAACCGAAACTTTTTTTCAACACGCCGCCATTTTTTTATTCTTTAAAATTTTGAAAAACCGCTTGGATAGCAAATAGCTATTACAATGTTTAGAAAAAACTTAGATTTTTTAATTTCAAATATGATATACGAATGTTTTCATGCATACCGTGCAGCCATCTAAAATTTGGAGGAGCTCCGCAAATATTCCCATAACTTTAAAAAAAAAATTTTTTTTTGAGCTGAAAATTTTTATTTAAGTAGTTAATAATATTGTATTAATATCATAAAAAAAATTAAATATTTTTATCAAGTCGTTGCGCTGCAAAAAAATCTAGAATATGTACTCATTTTTCGAGGTTTCAAACGGGTATGCCCCTTTAATAACACAGTCGTGGCGAATATAAAGATAATGCAATTTTTCTGGCCGAGTAAATCGTAGTTTCGTGCGATCGTAATGTTTTCAGTATGAGTATCCCGACACCTACCGTTCGTCTCGCTAGGGGAACGGAACGAATGATTGTCGGGCAGTGTACTGCACGGAGAAGAGGCGGGTGGCACGTATCGCTCTCGTGATTACTCCGTAGCTAAATGTAGCCGGTGCCATTTAAGGACGGAAATAGGCACGAGTGATATCAATTTGGTGACCAGTATTGACAAACTTAACGAGCACGTCGCTGATACGGACACATGATTTCAACAGTGCATGGTATATCGTATAGGAAATAAAAAAAAACACATCTTATATATCGTACGGTCGAAATCTCGCTTTATCATGATCTCGCGCAATCTTACTTACTTTAGCTTCGTTTATCAAAGATTTTATCATAAGTGTCTATTACAGAGTATCTATTCAGATTGAAGAATTAAATGCAACAGTGGTGTGATCAAGCATTTTTAAGGTTTTGAAAAAATTAATTATAATTAATATTAAAAATAATTAAAAAAGTAAACAAATTTAAATTGTATGAATCAAGTAGATTTATTGAATTTAATTTTCAAATCAATTTTCTCCAATTCTTGGAAAAAATATGACTTAAATCATTGCGCAATTATTTTCTTAAACGATCGAGATAATATATCGATTCTTACCATATTTGTACTGACGAATCGATTGCTTTAAACTCTATTCCCAAACGATGCGATTGGGAACTATGTTTATCCACGTGCAAATGTCTGACGTAGAAAGCGGCAAATTTAATTAATTACGACATATGATATATATTAATTCATAAAACTCAAATATTTTTCAATCGATATACTCCATTGTCGCGAATTATTTCAAATTTATTTAAGGTTGCGCATCTCGAAGCTGATTCTGCTCACGGAAAGGAATTTTTATTATATTATATAATCCGGCGTTAAAATGACATTAAACTCATTCTATTTGTATTCATTAACGAAATTGCATTTACGTGATTATCGCATTGTCCTTCTTTTATGTATTTGTTGAATTATCTGCGAATGATCTATTGCGATAGCTCCGAAGAATCGTTTGTCACTGCGGTGACATATTTATCACCTCGATCGACGTGATGCCGATACATACCTAATTATTTTAATCTTACTCACAATCTACACATACGCAACTCGTTCCTCGTAATTCAAGCACGTTGAACGTAATTAGCTAATGAGGCTATGGCGATCAATTTATCGGCAGGATATCATGTATTCGTAGCAGACGACATTACGTTTTCTTGAAATAGCCACAGTTATCTGGATTAAAAAACCATTTTTTATTTGCACTATGATTTCTTAAAAGTGATATTACGTAATTGTACAAACTTGTTTCTACGAGCATGCGTGTGTGTCTATCAAAAACTTAATATTATATTATATAAAACTTAACAATTAAAATTAAATATTTGAGGGGATATTTTATTTTGATGCTAGTTTTATCTTATACGTTTTATTATGTTTAACAGCAAAAAAAAAAAAAATAGGTAAACTGCTCTGTTTTAGATTTCTTTCATTGTGTGCCGAAAGGGCAATATTTTGGTTTTTCAACGAAAAAAAATCGCGGACTCTCAATAGATTCTTTATCGCGTAAACGTTCTAATATAAGTATTAAAAATTTCTAATATAGTTCTAATATAAGCTGTATGCATACAGCTCTCGATTGATGATATTCGTTTGCTCTCGACTACTTTATAAGAGCATTAAAATGTAAATTGCGTATAATTGAAATTATAATCGTCAGTGAAAATGTTAAGTTCTCTCACGAGATCATTATAAATTTAACGTTGACGTCATTATTCATTCCTAACATCTATTTTCACATTTTGTGTTACAGAGGAGATGCGGCCTCGCTGTTGGAGCTGAGACCGCCGCGCCGGCTGCGAAAGTTCGTGGACCCGCATCCGAAATCGATCACGAAAAAGTAAGGATCATTCGCATAAGGATCATCATCCGCGCGCCATCACCCTCGTATCCCTCGCTTAAAAAAAAAAATAAAAAAGCGAGACTGTCAAATCGAGCTGGGCCTAAAATAAAAAGAATCGAGAAGCACGGAGACAAGCGGGAGGAACCGTGAGACGAAGAAAACAGAATAGATCAAGAGTGAAAGAGGAGTAGGAGAGAGAAGGAAAAACGAGAGAACCATTTATAATACTCGTTTATAAAATAAGAGTCATCTTTTCGATTTGATAAAAGGCAGAAAGAAAAAAGGTCGGAGACACGCCGTGAAAATCTCTTACACGCGTCATTGTTTGATTTCGTGATCTTTTCGCGTAGATTTTCTCGCGTAGAGCCTCAAGGGATAAAGTGATATGCGCGCGCGTGCTTTTCTCGCTCGTGCTTGTGTAACGTAAATCCAGGGGTTCTCGATATTCGATCGACAAGACAGTAAAAGAGATAAACAGATCGTACACGCGGACACGCGTACGAAACGAGAGAGGGGTACACGGAGAAACCGAGAGCAAAAAAATGGCCATGGTCTCGACATGTTCTGTTTTGAGGTATCGTCTTCTGCTGAACGCTGCGCTCCTCACGTGCCTCGTCGTTCTTCAAAGCTCTGCTATCGCGGGCACGAAGAAATCGCCCCCGTGTCCAAGGTAAGTGTCTCAGTGAACCAGCCAAACGAAATCCAGCCTTACTCGCCCCTGCCAAAAACTGCGATTCAGAAAATTATGTTCTCTTTTCTTTTTTTTTTTTAACGGCGTCGTCGTTCGCGATAAATAACAAGGTTACGCTTATTTTTAGTTAGGTGACGCCGATATTTCCGCCATTAGCCTTTAAAAGCGGTGATAAACTGCTATTAAGGCGATTTTTCGTTGCGCGATATCATTGTTGGAAATTTTCAACATCGATCCTTCGTACAACGTAAAACTGGCTGGCTGGCGATTGAAAATATTTTTTCAGCGATTTATCTTTCATCATTTGTCTCCGTAAATATATCGCGTCGATTTTCATTCGATCGCACAGATAAGAACTTATCCGTTTAACTTGAAGCGGATAAATATGCGAGAATTTAAACGAAACGTTTGAGAATCAAATTGACAATTCGAGCATTTCGAAGTAAATTTGTCACTTCCCGTATTTCATATAGATTTTATCAAAGTTATGCGCCCGAGATCGAGTCTTACGCCATTGATTTGTACGTAAGCGATTACGTTAAACGCATGTAATTGTATAAAATTTTACATACCGGTTATCGTGTCTCACTAATCATTGTTTGCGGAAATAAATTACAAAATGACGTAGGGTTAATTATTCAGGACTAGAGATTACATTATTGCATCTTGTGCAGCATAGACTTACAAGTTATTACGTAATACGTCAAGTGTAAATAATAAACATTTTGCCTGAATTTTTAGTCATTCGCTTATCAGCAATATTTATGCTTAAATGAATATAATTTTTTCATTAAAGCACAAAACTATTATGTGCACGAAAAATTTATTGGCTGCATATATTTTATTTATTCTTTATTCGATAGTTATTTCTGTAACTTATTTTTTTTTTTTGGCTTAATCGCTCGCTGTATTTTATTGCAAAATTATATTAATTGTTGATAAAAATAGATGAAAGTTTATAACGAAAAAATTGCTGTAGTTGTCATAAATTAAGCATGCGCAGAAATCTACAAGATGTTTGAAATTGAAAATAAATTATTTATATACCTAACTTTCGAAACTAAATTGAAAATAAATTATTCATATACGTAGTCAAATAAAATATAACTTTCTTAATGTTAATAAATCTTTGTTGTATGGAGCGTAGAGAAGCTTAAGATTTGATATTTAAAGCTTACGCTCATTTTAAATAACCGACACCGGTCATTCGTCAGAAAATCGCGTGTTCATGATGTGACAAATATAAACTCCAACAGCTAACCGGAGTATCTTAGGTATCAGACGCGTCGAGAAAAAATGTCACGAGACTTCAAGTGATTCGTTGACGGCGAATCACGTCGTTCACTGTACGATAAAAATAGTCGTCTCAGATATAACAATCATTTTAAATAAATTTCCTCCAAGGATTGGTGAATTTGTACATAACTTTTGCCGTACGCATATGTATCTTACACACAATTAGGCTTTATATCAAATTTATATTTAAATTTTATGAAATTCATACATTTTTTATTTAATTACATTATTTTTTATTTAAAATGAAGTTTAGCATATAATGCTACAAATTTATTACAAAATAATATTATTTCTTTATAAGTATAATAACGTTATACTATTTATACAAGTTGGAACGTTTTAGCTTACGTTATGTTATTTGAGACTTGGCCCAAATTACAAGCGAGCGATTCATGCATTTGTTTGACGTAGACGCAAACCACTTGTCGCCGAAATATACGTAAAAAAATACTGTTGCCTCCGAAAATAGATCGTGGATTGATGTGACATTTTTCTCGTGCATATATTCATCGTTACATTATCTTGAAAACAGCAAAAAAAATAGTTGTAAATGTTTTATAAATTTATTTTCTATTTTTTTAAAAAATTACTAAACATTAAATTTGCTTATATATTACTGAAGAAAAAATTACCGCGTGGAAAAAAGACGGAAGAAAGATCTTTTTCATTATATATCTAAATGCATAAAATACTGCTTCTCACGAAATGCAGGGTCTCTTCGCTCCTAAAGTGCAATATAATTATACGATATAATCGTGTCTCTGATGCAGTGAGAAGAAATCGGTATCATTTTTAATGGACGAGATTATACATATATATACGTGTGACGCAAGCATTTAGGGAAATGACCTTAGCAATGAACTTTGTCCTGAGATCAGGCGCGTGGCAAGTTGGGCTCTAAATTAGCGTGTTCCGCAAGTACAATGAACGTGACCTTTACACGTCTCTGCACATGCATGTGTGCACATGCTGATGGCGGCTCCTTCGTATGCGCCGACTTGCGGCGGAAACTTTTCACTCGCGCGATCGATGACGCGCTTCAGAATCTCTATTCGAGATACTTGCCTTTTTTTTTCCCGCTCTACACGAATTTCTGTGACGAGAGTATTTGCGAGTATAAGATTATCAATGTTTTTATTTCGCGAGCTTGTTTAGTTGTTATCTAGACGATCACTCGATATTAGAGATACGATGGTAGAATTTTATTAGCCAAGAATTACGAGATTTTCTTTTACAGATACGTCGTGATTTTCAAACGAAGCGTGCAATAAATCGTAGATAATATCGTATCATACCCTATAACATCGCGTATTAATTCAAAGATTCCTGAAATAAAATTTGTTATCGTAATTTTTATGGCCGACGTACAATAAAATCATCGATATTGCATAAGTATCGAGTCGAAATTTATTTTTGCAGAATATCTGATTTATGATTGACACGATTTAAAAAAGAAGTATTTTAGACCAAGTTTTTTAATCAAGATGAGATATGGGCATGTCGCATAAAGATTTCCATAGAGACGGAATATCTTCTCATATATATTTATGACATCGCTACACTTGGCGTTACGCCATTCAATCCTGACAAAATCTACGCAATGCTTTCTGCAATGAAAGGAGTCATTTAATAGAAAAATATATACGATATTTGTCTCGAGGTTAAATTATAATGCATATTGCTTAAAAAAAAAAAAAAAAAAAAAAAGATAACTCTCTTCCCCTAAAATGCGATACTGCGATTTATGGATAAAATGATAGGTTCCGTGAAGATTTATCTGCCAAATTGTGGATATAAAATTTTCGGTAATGCCTTCTATGAAAGCAAGATCTCTCATCTTAGTCATCAAGTCACATGATGCAAACATGTTTGTCAAGTATACACGTGTCGCGACATAGGCAAATTTGCGAGATCCGAATCATGTCTGTGAGATAACATATATACCGGGTATATCCGGTAATAGGTATATATACTTGATGAGCGCGACAGCATAATTAACTGATGAAATCTTTTGTTGTTGTTTTTCAAAACGACATGTTTTGCTCAAATTTCCTCGGCTATATCAAACTTTCTGAAAATTGATATATTTAGAATGGAAAGATAAACATACATGTAAAGAATAATAAGTGAATGTTAAAGCGTAGCGAACGAGTGGAATAAATTGACTCTTCCGGAGATCTTCCGAATGACGTCTTATTAAAGTAGCGCGATCAGGTTCCTCGGATAAGAACGCAATGACGTTTAATTCTAAAATGCACATTAAGTTTCAAGACTTAATTTTTGATAAATCGCGCGTTTACTTATATATACATATAAATAAATATTAATATATTTAATTCGCTAATAATGCATATATGCGATACTGTATATAGTATTAAATGCGAATCTTGTCACAAAAAATATATTTTGAATAAATAAAGATGCTATTGCATGATGCAATATTTGGAATCGCGTTACCCTAACTGATTAATTATGTCAACAATTAATTAAAAGGTTCTATCCCCAGTATCGCATAGTCTGCTGATACGGCTTTCCGAGAGAACCTGTTTGCGAAAATTTTATATTTTATCAAAGATATGGTTATTTGCCACGATAATTCTCTGCATACATAATTGACATTAATAAAAAGATACTGATCTACATATCAATATCAATATATTTTTTTGAAAAAAAAAATGATTAATATATACAAATATATCCACATATTTAAAACTTTAAACTAGGTTATCATGGATATTGTATACGTGAAATCTCTTTCAAATATTGATAATTAATAATAAATATATATATGATATACATACATTCGTATATTGTATTTTTTTAATATAAAATTGTTTGCGCACAAGCTCGATGAAATGTTAATAGATGTAAATAATGAATGAATGATAAAAATGTTAAATATTAAATCAAACGATATACATACTCTCAAATGACGTAAATGACAAAATCGCGTTATCATTTCCATATCCAAATGTTTGAAATGTATTATCATACATCAAATAATCTGCAACAGCGAAATAGATTTGGCACAGAAAGAAGAAAAATAATTATCAATATTCAAAGTTGTTTTATTTAAACAATAATTGACATTCACATAAATACAGCTTTTTAAACATTAATAATGTTACATAGATATATCTCTTTTTTATTTGAACATACTTTTGATTATGATACGTCTTTAATTAAAGAACAATTCCGAGCGTGCAGTTATTCCACACGGATAATTTACATTAAAGGATCGTATCAATTCGTAATTGCGGACTAATATAATCAGAAATTTGAAAGAGGTTTCCGCAAAAGTTCGATTTACATATTTTTACCGCGTAATCTCGTTTACAAGGAGACGCGGAAAGATCGGTTCGGTTTTCAGCGGAAAAATCATTATCATTCCTCCGTTCACGACGCGAATGAAGAGGAGACGGCTAGAGCACGCGTATTAGCGATGATAATGAGGCGCGGCACATTTCGCGAGGCTAATCGCGGCCGTTTCGCGCATTCCATCACGCGAACGCGGGATTTTCTATCGGTCGAACAATGCTTATATTCCATTCCCGAGATACACGATCGTTCGGAACACGACCGATCGCGCTAGTCGCATCGCGCGCGCTCACGTGCGTCGAAATGTGCATCGAGATACGCAGAATTTTCGTATCAAGGTCGGCCAGAGGGAATCAGAAGTCGCACGATTTCTCACGTACGGATGAGGCCAGTCGTGTGCGACCGATTTACATCGCGAACTCGCGATGTCACGTTTGGTCTCGTGAAATTGCGGAATTGGCGAAGGATAATCTTTATGAAACCGGAACACAGAGAAAGAAATTTTGTATGTCGAAATGCTTGAAAGTCGTGAAATTTCTATCTCTACACGCTTTTATGATTTCAATTATTGCGATACAGGAAGATTATTTTTACAAGACTTAATTATACTGTTATGTTATATATATATATATATACATAATTATATTGTTGCCCGCTCGTCCGTTGAACGATCCGCCGTTTGAATACCGTTCTTTTTATGAGCTCTGATCTAATGCCTCTTCGGCCTGACACGACATACATCCGGAAATGAATCAGAATACTCTTACAGGCACCTTGCAATTCATAGGAAAAAAATAAAACGATGTAATTACGGGATTGGAATTTTGCTACTATTAAGCACAAATGTGTGATTCTTTACATGTGTTTCCTGGTTTTTTTTTTCTTTTTTTTTTTTTTATCAAAGTATCATCAAAATATCATTTGTGACAATAAATAACTCTATCTCACAATTAGAGGCAATAACATCTTTTGTAAATCCCACAAAAAGTTATGCATTCCAAAAATGGCGCATAATTAAAAATCTAAAATATCTCTGACTTAATTAGAGATCTCAAGACAACGATTTACATGTCTACTAATCGCGAAAAGTGCACATAATTGAAAAGCGTTGCTTCCTTGCAAGATTATATCGCGATTTTGTGGTATTAGTCTAATATATATCCTTCCTCAACAGGGTTGACTTTGCACTGCAGTAATAAAAGGACTATCTAGTTAATATTCGTCTTAAAAAAATAATAAATACCATGAATTTTTTGGAGGGAGGAGAAAGTGGAATTTCTCAATCATCAATTCTTAATCCTCATCGTCACTCGTATTATAAATTGTTATAAATTATCATAGATTTGCATAAATTACATAAACGATTGCGCGTTCAATACTTTATTAAGTTTCTCATCTTTTTTTTCACGTAAGATATTCTTTTTACCTTGGTGCAAAGTTTACCCTATCTGACCGATTCAATTTAATGCCCGATCCGCGACTGATTCGGTCAACGAGAGTGGCCATCGTTGCGCGAACGGTCTCGTGCGATCGCGTCAAGGATCTCGTCAAGTAGCCATATAACATGCCTTTCCAGCGAGATATACTGCCACGGCGAGCTGCTGCACACGATACAGATGTCCAGCGTGTACAAGGACTCCAAGCACTTCGTCGACATGAAAATGAAACGATCGGCGAATGAGACGCTGGCGTCGTTCCGGACCTTTATGAAGAGCACAAACAACGCGCCGAACAAACAACAGGTGGAGAACTTCATCAATGATACGTTCGAGCCGCCCGGCTACGAATTCGAGGAGTGGGATCCATCCGATTGGACTGAGAACCCCAAGTTCCTCCAGAAAATCGAGGATGACGAGCTGCGAAAATTCGGCTCCGATCTCAATCATATCTGGAAACAGCTGGGCAGGAAGATGCGGGAGGACGTAAGGATCAACGAGACGCTCTATTCGATCATCTACGTGCCGAATCCCGTGATCGTACCTGGTGGCCGATTCCGCGAGTTCTATTATTGGGACTCGTACTGGATCATCAAGGGTCTGCTGCTGTCCGAGATGCACAACACCGTCAAAGGCATGCTGAACAATTTCGTGTCGATAGTGGACAAGATAGGCTTTATACCGAACGGCGGTAGAATCTATTATACGATGCGTTCACATCCGCCGCTGTTGATACCTATGGTCGATGAGTATCTAAAAGCCACCCAGGACAACGCCTGGTTGAAGAAGAATCTCTGGTTGTTGGAGAAGGAATTCGATTTCTGGATGACAAACAGGACCGTGGATATCGAAATAGATGGGACTAATTATACGCTTGCTAGATACTACGAGGAGTCGTCGGGTCCTCGACCAGAATCCTATAAGTAAGTATCGCGACTTGCACATTCGATAATGACGAGAATGACGATGCAGATTTTGCGAGAAGCTAATCAGAGTCGAAACAAAATTTAGGATATTATTTTGAAAAATTCAGATTTAACGTATAAATTCTCTCTTTCTCTTCATTCATGTCAGATTCTTGTAAATATTAATTCTCATATATTGCGTAAAATAATAGCATTTGAAGACACATAAGATACTTGAAGAGAAATTCTGTAAACAAAAAATGGCTAAATATTCTAAATTTCGATCAACTTCGACTCAGTTTCGATTTTTCGGTCTTTTAATCTCGTGACTTGATGGTTAGGGAGGACTATTTGACGGGTGAAAGTTTTCGGACCGCCGAAGAGAAGGACAATTATTATTCGGAATTGAAAACGGCGGCCGAGTCCGGATGGGATTTTTCCAGTCGATGGTTTGTACACGAGGGTACCAACAAGGGTAATTATCATTCCTTGATTGCTTTCCGCGCGATAACAATAGAAGTGTTTCTGGGTGAGCGACGTTGGGCACAATATTACATACGTGTTTATACGCGTTTATACGCGAGTACAATAAAAATAACTTTGATAGATGGATAAAGCATATTGTCGCACAAGTAACAAAGAGACGTACCGCGCTAATTGTAAAAGCCATCCTTGATTTAAAAGAAGAAAAACAAAATATAAGAAACTGTGTATAAATTGTCTTACGTGAACTGTTGTCTAACCGAACTGAATTTTTTACATGTAGTTGTTTCAAAATGACTCACCTGATATAGGATCACGCTGAAAGAAGCTAAAATTCTGTTTTGTTTGTTTGTCATAATTTCTTTATATCTTGAACCGAAGTTATAATGATGTATTACACAGATATACGCACGGTATAGCCATTATTGTGCTATGTATTCCACTATTATTCCATTAAACAGCGTATCTTCAATGAGATCTGCGCGCGCCGTCAAGGCTCTCCGTCTCGTTTCTTAAGTGAAAGCCTTGCTCGAGGCATCTCGATACTCTAAAATCCATTTTTGCAAAACCAGGTGTTGCAATTCAGGATCATTAGATCATGCCGTTTTGTAATATTCAGATTGCCTTACCTTGCTCAATTCCATCTCGATTAAAAATGCAATTTGGCATATTAAAAAATGTGGTCTTTTATTTATGAATCTCTTATACGTATATAATAAAAGGGGGAGGGGAAACGAAAAATTATTTTAAAAGACTGACGAGATGCAAATTTCAGGCAATCTAACAAATCTCAAGAGTAGATCGATAATTCCGGTCGATTTGAACACTATAATATATCGAAATGCCGTGCTACTGGCGCAGTATAATCGTCAGCTGGGCAATAAGATAAAGGCCGCGTATTACGACAACATAGCGGAGAAGTGGAAGAAGGCGATCGCGATGGTGTTGTGGCACGAGGAGGTAGGCGCCTGGTTGGACTACGATATCCTGAACGACATCAAGCGGGATTACTTTTATCCAACCAACATCCTGCCGCTCTGGACGAATTGCTATGACACCTCAAGGAGGGTGGAAATCGTGTCGAAGGTGCTCAAGTATCTTGAAAAGAATCAGATCATGTTTAATCAGGGCGGCATCCCGACCACGTTGGAACATTCTGGCGAACAATGGGACTATCCCAATGCCTGGCCGCCTCTTCAGTATTTCTTTATCGTGTCGTTGAACAACACGGGCGACCCATGGGCGCAAAGGCTAGCCTACGAGATCAGCCAAAGATGGGTCCGTAGTAACTATAAGGCTTTCAACGAAACGCACAGTATGTACGAAAAGGTAATTTCCCAGATGAAAAGAAAATAAGACTAAAAAATGTAATATCTCGTAATTCGTTTTATAATAAGTCATTGTCACGTCAAAGAATTATATTGAGAAATAATTGTTTTGTATAAGTTTGTGTAATCTTCAAAAAAGGAGGAAATTTTTAAAATGGGGAAAACTTGAATTCTCTGTTTGCAGTACGATGCGACCGTCTCGGGCGGGCACGGTGGTGGAGGTGAGTACGAAGTACAGCTTGGTTTTGGCTGGTCGAACGGTGTCATTATGATTTTGCTGGATAAGTATGGTGACAGGTTGACCGCGGAGGATTACTTCATGCCCGGCGAAGTGATCGAGAACGCGGCACCACCGCAAACCATTTCAACGGCTGGTCAAATGCTGACTGGGCTTCTAGCTCTCATCATATCGTTAGCAGCAGGATTTATAGGGTGAGGTGAGTGTCGAACCGATAAGAGAAAACTATTTCAAACGAATAGAAAAGAGAGAGAGAGAGACTTGTGATAGCTTTTTAATATCCAAGTTTTTTCAATCAATTAATTAAGAATATGTGCGACAGCATATGTATTAACAGAATGTCTTCTTTTGTTTTTTGTTTCAGATATGCACGTGATCTAAATCAACTAGGATAAAGTTTGATAAAATAGAGAGAGATCAGTATAGGTGGTAGTAGAGATACTTGCAGTCGCGAAGAAAAAATGAGAAGTTGATCTAAATAATATTTTCGCCCTTCTTCTTCGATTTATTCGGTTTATAAGACTCAATAACCAATCGATCGATGAAGAAAGATCGCGTAACGGGTAAAGGGACCAAATAGAAGCAAGTGCGGGCACTGTCCTTCTTACGAATATTATTGTAAAAAATTCCGAGTATGCGCGAGGAAGATCTCGCGTCATTTTTACTCTCTTGCCACACACACGTGCTTCCAAAGATTATTCTATAAACTACAGAATATATAATATATATATATTTTTTTAATGATATTCGCATTTAAGTATTACTTCAGAAGGGACACGAATCTTTATTGTTTGCTTACTCGCGATATACTATCAATATATCGTACTTATAAATTGTTTAAATTCTATATATATATATATACACACACAATCTACCATTCCATTTTACATATTTTTTGTGATTTATAATATTTATAAAAAATACGCTTATTCAGTGATATCGATTTTTTTCTGAGGTTGTTATCTCTAGAACTATATCGCCAGTATGCCTAAACAACTTGCAAACATGTGCCTTTTTAGTTACGGAAAGTCGAAGTTATATTATTTATAGTAATATCGTGACCCTTCTCTCTCTCGCTGACGGATAATGTAGGCAAGATTTATTATCGCTAGACAATTGTCTATTGTCTATTACTTAATCGTTCCATCAGATGCGCTGTTACGAGGGATATTCTGTGATTATTTAACGAACTACTTCGCTGGTCGAACTAAGTTTTAGCATCCTTTTTTGCAGGATTTTATCCTTTGTTTTTGTGTCTGAAACTTTGAAAATACTGCGTAGACAATTTCTTGAATTTAGTCTCTATCAACGTATATTATTTTATTCTGAGATTAGCCATTAACTACTATATTAGTATTATTAGATAAATTATTATATCGCACATATAATATGTATGTAACAAACAAAAATCGACATCTCCGAAATATTCCGGAGACAGTCGGAGAAAGGTTCCTCGAAAGGGAAGAGAAAGGATATAAGAAGGCGCAATATGAGAAAGTTTAAGGTAAGAGTTTCGGCAGGACTAGAAATTACAAATAAACAGTATAACGAAAAAAGATTCCGCTCTCTCTTTCTCTCTTCTCGGAAGAAGAGTGGACTCATCTAGTCAGTTTGCGTACGGCGCTTAGCCATCTTATTTTTATGAGTCGCAATGGCGAGATATTGTGCGTGAAGAGGTTGAGCGTCGCCAAAATTACTCCTCTAATCTTCGTCGTCGTTCTCACAAAGGGTGCCTTAAATATAACTTGAATGGGCGGATAAGACGAGCATTGAGTTGAGGAAAACACGAGATAGCAACGGATAATGTACGAGCACAGCCGTCATGGACAACGATTGACAGTTTGTAACGATAACAGATAGTTTACTTTCAATTCGCGAATTCTTGCCTCTATATTTTATAATCCTCCCTTGTGTCCATTTGCAATAATCATTCTCTTTGTAGTAAAAATTATCGCACAGTATATTAGAACTACGATCTCGCGAATTATTATGTCCACACTCATCGAATCTATTGAATAGATTCTAATAAAAAATAAAGAGTATAAAAAACCAGAAAGATGTATTTTTGAAGAAGGAAGGATAAGAAGAGAAGATTTATTATTATATATGTTATATTTATTTAGAGAACGGTTTTTATTCACACGCGAATGAATATACACGAGACATAATATCAATACATAATTATTCCATGTTTAAATATCAGTACAATTTTACAATTTACTTATTTGTAAAGTTAAGCACAGCATTAATGAACTCGCCGACTATTTTATACTTCTATCTCAGAGAACGCGTATATCGCGTGCTTTTTTTTTAGTTATGTCAGCCAAGATGACATCTAATAACGCATGCGTAGGTGTATACAAATATCGCATCTGTCTCTTGCCGTGTAAAATATTGCATGACTTTTTTTCTAAGCCGATTATTTGATACAACTAAAAACGATTATTTTTATTAAACAATTACGCTAAATATTTTCTTTTCGTAATCTATTTATACGAATGCAAGTGTGTTACACGCATGCTCTTTGCATCCACAAGTCCACACATCTCCTTGTACGATAACTTGATAAAATAAATAAATCGAATGTGTGTGTGTGTGTGTGTGTGTATGTCTCCACGTAACCATCCTATAATGTATCAGCATTGCATGTAGCCATTTATTATTTTTTACGCGTAGCCATAGTACTTTAGAATATTTAAAGAAAAGACATTTCAGAGATACTATGTTGGATAAAGAATATTCCTTCGTTTTGTTTTGAGTTTGGTAAGTCCGTGTTTAATGCACAATGAAATTGGACCCGCCGAGAATTAATTTGTGAAAAAGATAATTACACTTGTCAGATGAATTTCTTAAATCAATATTCTCTCCAATCAATACGCAATAAGCGATCAGAAACTAAGCATAATTTTTAAATCCTTGAAACGTGATTTATAGATGACATAAATAAATGATACTCAAACTATTGTACTTCTCAAGGATAAGGCGTGACAATGAACAATTAAAAAGACGTTCGTGTTAAGAGTCGGGCGGCAGATAAATTTTGAAACATTTGCATAAAAATGTATTGTTGATTTTGCAAGGATATGTCTTTCACAATAGATGGCATTTAAGCCTTTGTTATTGCGATAATTATCATTCCATTGCCCTGCTGCGCAAGTGGAACTTTTCGCGCACAGCGAGCCGCCTTCGATGTGTGCCTAGTCTACCATTAATAGTAATTACACAGATAATAGTCAAGTCCGTGATGAGATTGTACAGGATGACTCAAAAGATGCGTACTAATGGTTCGGAGCATTTTAAAGCCATTCCTTTAAAAGCGAAAGTTTAATCCGAGGAAAAGAGCTTCGACTATTTAAAAGTATGACAGTTTATGTAAAGATTTTTGTTTATGTCAAATCAAAAAATCCAACAAAATCTTCACCCAGAAATTTGAAGAAATTCAAGAATTTGAATAGATACCTCACACTGCAATAAAACAGGAATTTTCAAACGCTATCGGTTTTTTTATTACCAATCTAAAAATAACTATAGATAAGAGAAAAATGTTTGAACAATTTAATGCAAGTATTCAGATCTCTGGTAGAATAAAATGTATTTCTCGGATTAATTTTTTTTTTCATAAAATTTTAGGTGCGCTAACAAAATGCCCTTTTGCCTTCAGTAACGCATGTTTTAAGCACCCCGGGTTCATATATCACTATTACACAATGCGCAGTCACACTATATTACGACGTTATCGCGATAGGTGTGATGAAGCTACTAGTTTGTATCCATCAGTATTCTCGTGTGAAGGTACCGATACAATTACCAGCACACATGGTGGTGCTGAGAGAAAGAGGAGGAAACGAATGGCCGCCAGTGAACATACACGTGATGTAGGCGTGACTGCATTTGGCATTCAGGCTTTTTGCGCAAATTCCTGTCTACATTAGATCGCGCTCAAGGACCGATCTGTGATCTGATATAACGCGGTAATTCTGTATGAGATATTTATATATATATATATCAGTGATAAAAAAACATAAAATAAACAGAATTACAAAAATGCACTGGTGAAAAGAAGCATTTTTTTAAAAACACGCTTGACGCAACAAATAAGAAAGAAAAAAGGATTGAGAAGAGAGAGGGAATTGTATCTTTTCTGGTTTTAATAAATGTGTTGAAATAAGATCTCTCACAGGCAAGAAATCGATGTGTGGACACACCGACAAATATTAAAAAACTTTTATGACACGATAAAATACCATTTGAATATTTGAAACATGAATAAAAATTTTGGTCTTTTAAAATTAAAAATTTTTTATTTCGAACAAATGCTTTGTATGTGCAGATATATATATTTGTATTGTAAAAGAAATTTATATATATATGTTAAAAGATTTAAATACTCTCGACGTGAAGCTTATGCTTGAATGCAAGATAATGTGATGATATGTCGTCACTTGAATTGTATCTTAGAGCGCACATATTGATAATTATGATAATTCGATTTTTTTGATGAGCTCTCTGATAAGTGTGTCTCTTGAAGCAAAGATTTCTTTGCTTCAACAAAGAAATCTTGATATGTCCGATATAGTTATAGGTCTTATAATAATCGTCGAAATCTGATCGCAGAATTATCGAAACAGCGCAAATAGATGGATTATCCGTCGCGATATTATGTGTTAGGTTTTTATTAAAGATCAAAAGAGATTCAGTTACATTATTAAGTATTTTATCATGCGAAGTGTATTATTTGGCAAAAACTGCTTGTAAATCTGTCTTTTGATCTATTGAGTGAGAAGACTTAAATATTTGCGAACCAAGGTCTCTTCAGATTCTTAGGAATTTATAATTTATAGAGAAAAAGAAATTTATTATTATGTTGCTTAATCGTTTTTTTTTTCCACAGAATGGTTATGTACAAGAGACGGCAATATTATGCACCCGGTCCATCGACGATGCCGAACAAGAGACAGGGATTGTCGAGCGGTAGCAATCTATACCGGAAGCGAATCGCGTACACCGAGTTGAAGGACATGAACAACGATTGATGACCGCTCGTCGTCTAGACCGAATATCGATTTATTACATGACTAGTGAAAGAAAGTACGCGCACAAGTGTGGAAAGAGAAAAGCAACCGGTAGAATGAAAAAGCGCCGAAAATAGAGTCAGGATCAAGTCACAAAGATGTTCCGAAAACGCCAGAGTACAGAGCGATATATATTCGCAGTCCTAAGGAAAAGAGCGAGACTGCTGGTGTGAAACTTATCGAGGTGTTTATCTCTACTGATGAAAAAAAAAAAAAAATACAGATGTTCGAAGACAAAATTATCGCTTCGGCGACGGTCTTCCAGTCTATGAAACCAAACAATGACAAGATTAATGACAGCACAGTATCCCGGAAGCATTGAAACCAAAGTCTGAGAATCGCTTGGTTCTAATCGCTGTTTGAAAAGGTCGAAAAGGAAGCGAGATAAGTGAGAAACAGGTATAATTTATATAGTATAAAAATTATAGTAAAGAGGGAAAATGTGTGCAGGTGCGTGTGCATAAGACTCCACTCCAACAATAGCAGGATTTAGTTTTAGTTTAGCAAAATATTAGACAGAAAAAAATAATGGAATTTCGTAAATTATTTATTGATTTCTTCGACAAGAAGGTACAATTTTGCGCAGGATCTTTACACAGCGTCCTTCTAAACAGGATCTATTTCAATGTCAGAAAGGAAGCGTAAACTCTTATAAATACGCTGTCATTACTTTGATATATTATCTTTGATATGTTCTTCTACGGGCTATTTGTTAGGATTATCTTGAAGATAATCTCTTTTCAAATGCGAAATCAAAACACTATAACGACCATTAAAGCGTTGAGCTAAAAATCCTACGGTGCCATCCAAATACGTACGAAAACTAATTCTGCACAACGTTACATATATATCCAGCGACTTTTCTTCGCGACGTGAGAAAGTGCGCGCGTTTTTATGAGTGTTATAGTGACTCGTGAGAAACGGTTTAATGAAGCGATTGATAAAAAAAACAGCGGCCAAAACAAAGGTTCTGCTATTTGCAAATACGAACGATCGTTTGTAAAAATGCGAGAATGACCCAAAATGCGTATGTGATTTATAGAGAGATATGCCCACGTGCAGGCAGGATATTGTAAGTATAAATAAATAAATAAATAATTTATTTATTCATACATTTACAATGTATATATACATAATTTAGATAAAACGTAGATAGTGAATAATTGACGATAAACTATTGATGAAATAAACTATTGATGAAATCGTGGTATTTTTGCTGATATTTTTATAAACGAGCGAACTTATGTTTATCCCGCGTAATGCTAACGATTGATCCGCGGGCGTTTGTTCGCTAAGTGTACGACAGTTTATTTATTATCATTTCTTTTTTCTTAAATCAGCTCCACATTAAACTTTGCGATATTGTAATAAAAGGTTGAAAGTTCCTTTGCCAATCTTTTCGAAAGAGCTTTTACGCGCTCAACTAGTTTTATTCGTTAGAATGAGAATTATTTCATGGTATATTTATATTTCGCTTAACGTTGATAGTAAGACTTTGTAGAACTATATCTTGACAGAGCTGTCGAAAGAACTACTTTCTAGAGCGTATATTTAATTGTAACTGCAATATGTTATTTTGCTCTCTCGTTATTACGTAGTATTGTAAGCGCATGCGACGACCCCAAACGATATTGTAATTTTTTTCACCACGATAGGACGTTTCTCGGAGTGACGTAGACAAATCAATCGAATATATAAATGATAATACACAAAAATCTAATTTCCGGCCAGTGTGTATGATGCGAAAGTACCTGGTGTTTATTTGCGACGCATCCGAGAAAAGCGCGGATTGTACGGAACCTCTTTTAATTACGAACGTTCCACAGATTACGCGATCTAAGTTAAATTGTAAATAATTTTATATACAATGATATACATAGAAAGAGAAGAGAGAAATATGTGGAAAGACATCTGATTAGTGTCATAAGTCGTAAAAAAAATTCAACATATTAAATAATCTTTCTTTTTTTTATATATATATTTACTTGTATTACTTATATATAAATAAAGCCTGTTAGATTCGTCGAATAATTAATCGAATGCCTAGAACAACAAGTAAAATGGACAATTAAGCAAAGATAAGTCGATTTATAAGAACTGCTAATAGAGAACGACGATCTTTTAAGAGAATTGCCGATTTTATCATAAATATAGGGTGTTTATGTATGGCATCATGCTTGTTGTGATTCTTGGCTCTTATTGTCGTCCGTTTATTTTTAGAACTGTCCCATACTGTTGCAGCCGCACGTATATCATGTGCATATTGCCAAGAGATGCGATAAGCATGAATCTAAGATGAACGACGTTACGTAATAATTAATCGGCTGAAAATAGCTTAAATTGCGTTCAGCTGTAATTTAGGTTTTAATTCAATATTATTAGTGTATATACACACACATTTGATAATATCTGGAATATTTCGAGTGAATTTTCGTTTAAATAATGATGACATGAAAGAAAAATGAAGATAGTAAAAGAGTACATCATGAAACATTAGCATATATTTTTTTTTATCGCAAGTATCCTAAGTGTAAATAGTTTCGTCTTCTTTTCGGATGTTATAATCAGAACTCTTGATACTCTAGTTATGCAGTTCTTTATAGTTAATTATTTTATTTAATTTGGATTTTAATCTATTCGGTCGCATTTGTAAATCGTTATACAAATATTAAAAAGAAATTTGATATGAGAACAATCATCTCAAATTATAATTATTTAAAAGTTTTATTATAATGCAATATATTTGCATCATTAAAAATTTTTTGTGTAAAATAATTTGATGCAGCAATGAAATGCGTGTTTTAAATTGCTAATTTATGATTATGATGAAATTATCTTACACTTCAAACTTTGTATGCGAAGAGAACAATCGTTTCAGAATTTCGCTTATTTCAATTTCGACAAAGCCAAAAAAAAAAAAAAAGTTTCGAAGATTATTTTCCTTTTTACATTTTCGTTTACACGTGGAAGTTGCAACGAAAGGGAGAAAGGAATGCGTTTATATATATAATAAAGTACATGAAAGTTTACACTAAAATATCAGTTAGATATATGCATATATACATATGCGGAGAGATCAATTTATTAAATTTTGTATGGCGATAATTTATGACGCGGTTCGATCGGTATTTGTGTAATGAAGATCAAATCGCAGATAAACGATATATCTCGTATGAGAGATACGCTACCTCAAAGGAAGCGTTCCTATATTTTAATGTGCATAGGCGTGCGGCGAAATTCGCATCACGGAAGTGCAATTGACGAACTGATTCTCTTTTAATCGTGATTGCTAAACCGTTGAGGGTCTTTTTCACAGATAGATTTATCTTTATTTAAGCGCGATTCAGGATTATACACAATGACGAATGATCTTGTTTAGTTATTGGATAATCTTATTCATTGACAAGAGCAGTATTAGCAGAGAACGTGCGAAAGCGAATGGATTAAGCGTTTTCTGCTGAAAGCATGTGTCATAAATGTTATGGAAAATATAAATGCACCATATGAGTATTTTCACAGGTTTGCGTTGTAATAAATATTAATTTTCAAAGGAATTGTTAGGAGCATTATGTTCACTTCTTGCATCCACAACGTAAAAAGAAAAGAAGACGATAATTAGTTTAAATAATTTTTCTCTAATATTTTGATATGTATATTAGAGTAAAGATATTCCTTTTTCTCCTATATCCTTTCATTATCAAGTCATATTTCGCTCATATTTTATAAAAGTGTGCGATTTCAATTATTTTAATCAAGATTTTAATTATTATACATATTTTATATGCGTTACATGAGAAAAGAATGCGAATTTCAGCCGCGCGATGAACATGAGCGATCAACAAATTTCGAAATAAATGCAAGTAATGCAATTTGTAAAAATATCTGTATTATATGTACATTTGAATAATTGTGATATTTAGAAATAAGTAGATACATGTTTTTTGCTGTTTTATATTGCATTCAGTTTTTTTCTTCATTTCGATGATGCTCGTTTTATTTAAAAATTGGCTGATAATAGTTGACAAAAAATTTAGTGTTCTGTATAAAGATTATTTTGTCTAAAATTCTCTCATCCTGATAGAAGAAAAGTTTATACACATACATGTTCATATATATATATATATATATGTGTGTGTGTGTGTGTGTGTGTGTGTGTGTGTGTGTGTGTGTGTGTGTGTGTGTGTGTGTGTGTGTGTGTGTGTGTGTGTGTGTGTGTGTGTGTGTGTGTGTGTGTGTGTGTGTGTGTGTGTGTGTGTGTGTGTGTGTGTGTGTGTGTGTGTGTGTGTGTGTGTGTGTGTGTGTGTGTGTGTGTGTGTGTGTGTGTGTGTGTGTGTGTGTGTGTGTGTGTGTGTGTGTGTGTGTGTGTGTGTGTGTGTGTGTGTGTGTGTGTGTGTGTGTGTGTGTGTGTGTGTGTGTGTGTGTGTGTGTGTGTGTGTGTGTGTGTGTGTGTGTGTGTGTGTGTGTGTGTGTGTGTGTGTGTGTGTGTGTGTGTGTGTGTGTGTGTGTGTGTGTGTGTGTGTGTGTGTGTGTGTGTGTGTGTGTGTGTGTGTGTGTGTGTGTGTGTGTGTGTGTGTGTGTGTGTGTGTGTGTGTGTGTGTGTGTGTGTGTGTGTGTGTGTGTGTGTGTGTGTGTGTGTGTGTGTGTGTGTGTGTGTGTGTGTGTGTGTGTGTGTGTGTGTGTGTGTGTGTGTGTGTGTGTGTGTGTGTGTGTGTGTGTGTGTGTGTGTGTGTGTGTGTGTGTGTGTGTGTGTGTGTGTGTGTGTGTGTGTGTGTGTGTGTGTGTGTGTGTGTGTGTGTGTGTGTGTGTGTGTGTGTGTGTGTGTGTGTGTGTGTGTGTGTGTGTGTGTGTGTGTGTGTGTGTGTGTGTGTGTGTGTGTGTGTGTGTGTGTGTGTGTGTGTGTGTGTGTGTGTGTGTGTGTGTGTGTGTGTGTGTGTGTGTGTGTGTGTGTGTGTGTGTGTGTGTGTGTGTGTGTGTGTGTGTGTGTGTGTGTGTGTGTGTGTGTGTGTGTGTGTGTGTGTGTGTGTGTGTGTGTGTGTGTGTGTGTGTGTGTGTGTGTGTGTGTGTGTGTGTGTGTGTGTGTGTGTGTGTGTGTGTGTGTGTGTGTGTGTGTGTGTGTGTGTGTGTGTGTGTGTGTGTGTGTGTGTGTGTGTGTGTGTGTGTGTGTGTGTGTGTGTGTGTGTGTGTGTGTGTGTGTGTGTGTGTGTGTGTGTGTGTGTGTGTGTGTGTGTGTGTGTGTGTGTGTGTGTGTGTGTGTGTGTGTGTGTGTGTGTGTGTGTGTGTGTGTGTGTGTGTGTGTGTGTGTGTGTGTGTGTGTGTGTGTGTGTGTGTGTGTGTGTGTGTGTGTGTGTGTGTGTGTGTGTGTGTGTGTGTGTGTGTGTGTGTGTGTGTGTGTGTGTGTGTGTGTGTGTGTGTGTGTGTGTGTGTGTGTGTGTGTGTGTGTGTGTGTGTGTGTGTGTGTGTGTGTGTGTGTGTGTGTGTGTGTGTGTGTGTGTGTGTGTGTGTGTGTGTGTGTGTGTGTGTGTGTGTGTGTGTGTGTGTGTGTGTGTGTGTGTGTGTGTGTGTGTGTGTGTGTGTGTGTGTGTGTGTGTGTGTGTGTGTGTGTGTGTGTGTGTGTGTGTGTGTGTGTGTGTGTGTGTGTGTGTGTGTGTGTGTGTGTGTGTGTGTGTGTGTGTGTGTGTGTGTGTGTGTGTGTGTGTGTGTGTGTGTGTGTGTGTGTGTGTGTGTGTGTGTGTGTGTGTGTGTGTGTGTGTGTGTGTGTGTGTGTGTGTGTGTGTGTGTGTGTGTGTGTGTGTGTGTGTGTGTGTGTGTGTGTGTGTGTGTGTGTGTGTGTGTGTGTGTGTGTGTGTGTGTGTGTGTGTGTGTGTGTGTGTGTGTGTGTGTGTGTGTGTGTGTGTGTGTGTGTGTGTGTGTGTGTGTGTGTGTGTGTGTGTGTGTGTGTGTGTGTGTGTGTGTGTGTGTGTGTGTGTGTGTGTGTGTGTGTGTGTGTGTGTGTGTGTGTGTGTGTGTGTGTGTGTGTGTGTGTGTGTGTGTGTGTGTGTGTGTGTGTGTGTGTGTGTGTGTGTGTGTGTGTGTGTGTGTGTGTGTGTGTGTGTGTGTGTGTGTGTGTGTGTGTGTGTGTGTGTGTGTGTGTGTGTGTGTGTGTGTGTGTTATTGTCATTCGTTTGATGACTTCAAATACCTAAAATACCTAGTTTTTCAGTGAAAATCAGAGAAAATTACATTTCGCAAGTAATTTTATGCAGTTCTCCTTTCTGTTCCATCGATAAGTCATTGTGTGTGTGTGTGTTATTGTCATTCGTTTGATGACTTTACTAATAACAAATACCTAGTTTTTCAGTGAAAATCAGAGAAAATTACATTTCGCAAGTAATTTTATGCAGTTCTCCTTTCTGTTCCATCCATTAAAAAGATAAGTCATCATAAGGTAAGTAATATTAGTTTTAGTAACATTGGAAAATAAATAATGCACGAAATATGTTGTAGATGATTATTTGTATTTGTATACAATATTATATAACAACAAGGAAAAATACTGAATGAGAAACAGATGCCTTATTTGGTGTATCACACGGGCGCAAGCCAAAAAAAACCATGTCGCAATAGAGCATCTATTTGTTGACTATATAATTTAATACTCGTTACTAACAGCAAGGAGAAAAAACCTCTATATGGATTATATTAATGAAACACATATTCTCGTTTCTCTTCTCGGTCTCCAGTTCATATACTGTTCTTGCATCGTTTAAGCATATACATTACTAGTACGTATACAAGTTACATAAATAAGTGGAATATTATATAGCTGACTATTTACTTTATACAATACTTGAAATTTTCTTATAATGAGCATATCATATAGTTTGCGCACATCACACGTTTGTGTAGATCAGAGTAGAAACTGCTCGTGGAAGAAATTGCGGTTAATTAAGTAATAGTACTGGCTCTGCGTTTTGTGCGAATTTTATGCAATTTTCAAACTTTTTTGCAATATAAGTCATATATAGAAAAATATATGTAGATTATATATATCTCAAATGTTCGTGTTAATACCCGCGGTAAAGACTTTCATTTAAATTTTTACTTTCGTAATAATCACATGTGCATTATTGTTCGAACTTTTCTATTAGATAACATATCTTTTACATTCTTTTCTTTTTTTTTCTATAATCCTTATTAACTCAACGCATTGATTTATAGAAAGTTTATATAAGTAAAAATTATCGCGATTATACTACAAGAAAGCTATTAATGCATGTTATATAAATATAAACATTATTTTATAATTTTTTATCTTCTAACGCGAGACATGGATATCCAGACGTATATTCAATTTCAAATAATTGAATAATTAAATAAAATGATGAATGCATGTAAGATTTATGCTATTATAAAAATTTTTTAAAATAATTTTTTTTTTTTAAATATGTACAATTGCAAAGTACACAGTTTTACAAAATTCAAGAAAGTTATGAATTCATCATAAAAACTAAAGGCTCTAATTTCTAAAATTTCTCGATTATACAAACTTCAGTAAAATGTATGCAAATGTGAACCCGCAAGAAAAAATAGAAATAAATTCTTACATCTTTTGTAATATCGTATTAAAGAACGCGATATTACAATAAAACATTCTACTCGCAAACCTCGAAAACAGTTATATATAATAATACAATAAGACATGGAAGATTATTTATAAAGTTTCATGTCATATGCGTTTTAATTTACTAGATATTGTATAATACTAACAAAAAGTCTTATGAAATCTAATAATCTATACCTAGAACACAATATAACTATTAGTAATGAGCAACATTTTGATCAATAAATGAGTTAGATTAATTCAGAATATAGGTTTGACATCGCGTTTTACTACGAATAAGAAAAGACAAGGCGAAAAAAAAAGACAAGGCGAAAAAAAAAGACAAGGTATCTAAAATCAACGCTTTGGTGCACAGATACACATTCACCCGTTGATAATCGTGTTTCCAGAATAAAACGACATATTTTTTTTCACAGATAGCCGCCTAATTTTATATATATGATAATTCTAGAATAAATATCTATCACAAAGGCTGGTCTAAAATATATATATATGTTGCTTTCAAAGTTTATAAACTTTCTAATTTATTCGCGTCACAATAATTGTGTTCAAGAAAGAACGATTGTACACAAAAGTCGAATTAAATAATTATTAATATTTAATAAAGATAATTTTCATAAGCGGTTTTCGGACATGTTCTGTAAGCATCAAAATATCGGAATTCAATTTTGTCCAAATCTCCAATTTTAAAATAAGATGATGCTTGTGAATTATTATATAAATTTCATAATTGTTATCAAATATCGCGAAAAATATAAATAAAGTAACAAATAAAGATAAAATAAAATCTACGACAGAAAATTACGTTCTGGTTTGGATGTCACGCGTTTTCTAAAAAAGCCCAACGTGTATGACACGCATTATAATAATACTAGTTACAGTAGGACACTTATTTAGTCTAACTATTTACAATTCGTATCGCCTAAAATTTGCTACGTCGGCTTAACGAGAATCGCGTTAATAATAAATACGATTACGAGGACATATAAGTGTTTCGCTATAAAGTGTTTCTGTTGTACTTTTACCATGATTCGCTGATCCGTTACTTTCTCAGTAGTATCGAATATTCGATTGTGCATTGGACTATTGGATCAACGTCCACTATAGGTCATTCTTAGGCAGTAATGAACCAGTGGAGAGTCCTTGTCCCTCATAATACTATACAGTTCATTAATTTACACGACTTGCAGCGGAATATTTATATCCCTGTTTAAAAACTAGTCGCGTTCACACAAATACTCACTGTCTCTTCGCAAAAAACTTTTTGCGCTATACCAGTTGCAAAATTGTTATACAGGCTGGCTCTTCTCACATTCTAACTCGCATTTCCGCTTTAAACCGCGCTATCGGCGTTCTTGCTTTCATGCCGCTCGTGATTCGTGTAACGCAAAAGAGGATCGTCGACGTTTATGGTTCCCATTTCTTCTTCGTTATTAGCAGAACTAGTCACGACCCCCTCTGATAAATATGAGAATATAATATTATGCACCAATAATGGAATAATTAAAAATATATACATAATATTAATAATTATTTGGTATGTTATTAATATTTTATTAATAACATATACGAGAGAAAGAGAGAAAAATATGCTAAACTCTTTTTGTAAATTTTTTTTGCTTACCAGGTAAGCACAATTGTAGCTGATCGTTGCTGGGGTTAGTGCTATCTCCGGTTCCACTGTCCTTACTGTGCTGCGAGCTCGTATCCAGATACAGTTGCGTTTGTGCTTCCGGTACAGTTAGTACGACTGTCGTCGCCGGCAGGGCAGTGGTGTCCTGTGCGAGATTTAAGCGACGTCTGGTTTTGTAAATTACGACTACCCAAATCACGGAAGTAGCAACGGCGCAACACACAACGGTTATTATTATCAAGCCCAGTATTTCGGAGTCATTTAGCACGGAAGTCGGAGCTGTGGATGTGACAAAGAGACCGACATAAGGTTTAGCCAAGCAAAACTCCTTCGACAAAATTCTTCACGATCCTATTATAAGGTTTCTAATTACCTGGATTAACCGTGAGGTACGACTCGCCGACAATACTGCCCAACGAATTACTCATCTCGCACTCGTAATTACCAGCGTCACCGACGATCGTGTTGACGATGATCAACAACTGATCCTCGGCGGTGAAAAAGTGACGTTCCGTTGCCTGCAATGGACTGCCATTCTTTCGCCATGATAATTTCGGACGTGGCGAGCCGCCGGCCATGCATTCAAGCACGATCGAGCGACCTACCATGATTTCTTTATTCTCCATCGGTTTTACAAAGGATGGTGCTTCTGAAAAGGAAAAGTATTATAAGTATATACATATAAAATAATTAAAATGTATAAAAAATTTATATATTCCAGGTTTTTCGTGTTACAAAAAAGATAATTCTTCACCTAATATAGTAAGGGTAGCGTTTGCAACAATAGTGCCAGCTAAATTTTGCGCAGTACACGAATAAACTCCGTTGTCGGCCATTTTGACATTTATTATAAATAGTATGTCGTCCGTCGGCATCATGTGCATACGTCTTTCTCTCGCAGCTGGGAAATCATTTCCTCCGTCCTTCTGCCAGGCTATCTGTGGGGTCGGTTGTCCCTCGGCGGAGCATTCCAGACGCGCGGTGCTTCCAGCATTTATTCGTATATCGTGTGGAATTTTGGAGAATGACGGATAAACTAGAAAGCAAAATACGCAAAGAATGTTACTTAACCCATTAAAGTCTATAATTGTATAGAAACATAATTAAAAATCACAATTGCGTTTATTTTCGAACGATCTCATATTAAATTAATTTAGAAAATTTAACATCCGCGAGAAAAATTTAAGAGAATTATTACTGAAATTATTTTATTCATAATAATGTCTTTGTCTCGCTCTCTCTCTTAAAAGTGCAATGTCGGTTGGTTAACATTTCATTAACATAATTAAGAACAATAAACATGTATAGCTTACCCAATACGTTCAGTATGGCTTTGGCCGAGTATGTAGTTCCATAATTGTTTGTCACCATGCACTGATATTTCCCCGCATTAGCGTGAGTGACGTTAGTAAGATGTAACATAGACGTTGCCTCCGTTACTCCGCTCTCGGAGGAATCGATGTTGGTTTGCAGATTCGCATCATCTAATTCCACATTATTATGTTTCCAGATGAAATGGAGCGGTGCGTCAGAGGTGCTGGTTGCACGACAGATCAGTGTCACGTTGTCCCCTTTAATGCTCATTTGGCTCATGGGTTCATGAATGATTCGTGGTTTTGGATATTCATCTGTAATAGTATAGAGAAAATTTTGATGAAAAGATAAAATTATAAAAGACAGGAAAATTAAAAAAAAAAATACATTTTCTGATATACTATAATAATACTAACCACAAGTAAAGTTTGCATGATGTAACTGAGTTAATGACATGCCCTGCAACCAATGTGGATAACCGCAGAACAATTCAGCTTCGCTGTAATGATGTTCTTGCAACCACATGCTTAGCCATTGAAGTCCACAATCGCAAACTAAAGCTTCTATATATAAATTTAAAAAAATGCAATTAATAAAAAATATTAGCAAAAATATAATTAAAGATATATATGATTAGAGAGAGATATCCAAGAGTATCTATATATTTAAAATTTATATATACAGTAAAATCTTTTTTAACTTACGGGTATTCATTTTAAGTTTGCTCAGACTAGACATTGGAAAGAAGGCATTTTCCTGAATAGACGTAACATTGTTTCCGATTAAATCAAGCTCATTGACGCGAGTCAGGCCGGTAAAAGCGTTTTGATTTATGGATTTTATTCTGTTGTGCGCCAGACCCAGTCTCCACAACTGACCAAGCGGGGAGAATGCACCACCAATGTCCTCTACCATATAGGATATCTTATTCGAATTGAGTTCCCTTTAAAGCAGAAGCGATTGTAATACAGCAACAGTAAATGTAACAAAAATATGAAAAATCTACAAAAAATATATATGCATACAGAATGCGAAGATTTGTAGTAAAATTAAATGCTCCATCTGAGATATATGCTATCTGATTATGATCCAGTTTAAGCCTTTCCAATTTTGTAAGATATTCGAAGGAACCTCGGTCTATAGAGGTCAACTCATTATGTGACAAGTCTCTAAAAAAAGTAAAAAGACGAAATCGTTTAGTTATAGTGTTTACAAACAGAAGATAATAAGTTAATGCCATATATTGTAAACTGTATACTCATGTCATGTATTATAAAAGTGTTACTGACATCTCCAATATTTCTCTGCATATATCCCATGCTTGAGGTTCAATAGTTGAAATCTGATTGTGTGACAAAGTAAGCTTTTGCAAATGTTCCAATCCGAACAAGCCACCCTTCCTGACAGTGGTCAGCATATTGAAGTCAAGATGTAATAGTATCAAATTTTTAAGTGGCCAAAAAGCTCCATCATCCAGCATGTCAATTCTATTTCTTCTTAGATGCAACTCCTCCAAACTCTTTAAACTTTTCAAACTTAATCCATGAATTTGTTGCAGATTATTTCTGTTCACTTCCCTACAACGTATTAATAAATGGATCTCTCTTCAATATAATATTTTATATAAATTTATAAAATATCATGAATATATTATAGAATATGTTAATGTGCTTACAATTTTCGTAATTTTCCCAAATTTGTGAAAAGATCTTTCAACTGTGTCAAATTGTTTTTATTTAAACGAAGCTCTTCCAGTAAAGTTAGATTATCCAAACTTCCATTTTCAATTATTCCTATGTTGTTCGCATTCAGATTTCTAGAAGCGCATAGAAACATAATATAGTATATTAATGTCATGTATATAGACTTATAAAATGTGATTAAAATACATACAAATGCACAAGTCGATTAGGACCAAGGAAGGACCCCTTTTGAAGGACACTTATTTTATTCCCACTGAGATCCAGGTATTGAAGCTGTTGCAAACTGAGCAATGCAGTCCCGTTTATACTAGTAATTAAGTTATGGGATCTGCAAATATAATACTTATAACTGTCATTGCATAAATATTATTAATAAGAGATATTCTTTATATCAGACAGTACTAAAAAGATTCTCAATCCACACATGCCGAGTACTTACAGCGTAAGATGAGTAATATTCTTAATAAATACGAGATCTGGCACTTGTGTTAATTGATTTTTATTCACTTTAAGTTCGCGTAATTGTGCAACATCCGACAAGGCGATAGTAAAATTATCTCCGAGTTTATTAGCACTTACATCTCTAAAATTATAGAGAATCATAAATAAAATTAACAATAAATTGTAAAAAATGATTATTGAAAGAGTTTAAATAACTTGAAAATCATATATATGTATATTAAAAATCTGTTAAAAAATAGATGTATTACGTGCTTACAATTTTTTGAGTTTTGTTAAATGAAGCAATGAGTCAAATTCCAAATTAGCAATATTGTTGTCCTTTAATTCTCTGAAAAAAATAAAAAATTTATATTATATTTATTAATATCATATAATATATATATTCGAAACAATTTTTAAATTTTTTATTATTTTTACATAATGCATTAATATCAATAGAAAGAAAATTATATCTATTCAATCTTTCCATCAGGCCTTACATAATAATATAATTTTACACACATTAGCATGTAGACTAATAAATTTAATATGTTTAAATTTCAACAGTTCATAGTTATACTAACAAATATAGTGTGATATAAATATAAATATACATATAAAAATTTTGCATAGTTTATAAAGAAATTAATTCCATGTATAAGGATTTCTTTTTTATTTAGATTCATATGTTGTATAAAATGGAAGCATGTATATATTATCTCTCTTGAACTATAACTATACACCTTAATATCTTAAATAGTATATACATGAATCTTCCCTACTTAGATCTTGCTATCCTTGATTCTGAGCACTGGGGGACTTTACAATGATCAGCCATCATTACACATAGCACCCTATATGGTAGCCAATAGAAACCTGGTCATGTATTTGTAGAATCAGTTTTATCAATCTGACCATTTGGTGCAGTGAAGGGACAAGCAACCCACATGCAGTCATAACAAGCAATATTATTCCCCCTGATTTAACTTCCAAATAATATAGAGTAATAACAGTTATCATCCAATAAATAATAAATTGCTGTATATGTAATATCCGCTGTTTACCAATTCTTATTTTACCCAAATAAATAATTTGCCAATTTGTGCATACTAAATGTATCAGTTTGTAATCTTATAAAAGAACTTGTACAACCTTGTTAAAAATTATGATAAACTATTGTAAAATATAAAATGCAAAATATAAAAATTTGATCAATTTTAAAACAAAATAAAAATTTATGTTTAATATTTATTGTTTATCTTTTTAATTAATATTTAATGTCTCTCTATTTAATTAATATTTAATATCATTTGTTTTTAAATCACTTAAAAATCATTTATTAACTCGTTAAAGATAATTGAAATGTTCTTTAAAATATTACTTAATTATTTTATCATTAAACTAACAAATTATTTATAACAAATTTCTTTATAATTGAAATATATTATTAAACATATTATCTCTATATTAATAAATATTTTAAAAGGAGAGAATCATAGAAATAAATTATAAAAGTCTTTAAATGACTGAGCATAAAATATATATGTGCATATCCCGTGTCATTTTTATTTCCATTGCAAATTCCTTTTCTATCTTATCTGTGTTAGCTCAGGTTACACAGCAAGTATACAAGTCCAGCTTCTATAATTCACCATAATTAGCAACAAATCATCCTTAGATCTTTAAAAGTAAAACAAGTCATACATCTTCATTCCAATGATAAATGAAATGCATTCCGCAATTTCAAAATATACCCATTCTGTATCACATGTACAAAAGTAATCTTACAGGAAAAATAAGATGTTATTTATAATAAAAATCTGACACAATAAAGCTTCCTCTTCCTCTAACGCCATCAACGCCAGGATTTACTCACAGGATCTCCGTCCACGGTGGCAACCCACTAGGTGCCTCGATCAGTTGCAGCTCGTTGCAGGCGATCAAATTGCCGAGACAGGCGCACTCGACCGGGCAGCTGTCCGTCTTGTCGTACAGCGACAATCTCGTCGATTCGGAGGCGCTCGCGCGAGCGATCAGCGCGAGGAGGCAGACGGCTAGCGGAATCCTCCTCCGCTCAGGGAGACGACGACGTCTCGGCATCGCCGAGCACCACGACATCGCGTATACGTACACACGCACGCACGTACGCGCCAGAGAGTTTAAATCCCGCTCGGATTAATCGGTCACCTCGGGACGCTCACCGTTGTTGCCGCGCGGCCCCATCGCCGCGGATTCGTGAAAAGACGACGACGCCGCTCGTAGGCGAGCGAATTGCCATAATGACGAAGAAGCGATGGCCTCCCCACGTACGCGTACGTTCGATCGCGCTGTCGGGTCAAAACAAACTCTCGCCTCTTCTCTCAAAAACGCAACGACCCACGCACCATGATGACGCCTACGGGACGATCCAGAGATGGACCAGAGACCCGATCGCGCTCCCGTGTGTATGTACGCGCGTAGGCGGCGTCATCTGGCGAGTCACTAAAAGATGGTGCATGACGCCGAGATCCTCAGGATCGTTTTACAACGGATTCATCTCTCTTCCTTTTGCAATTTTTCTCTTCGTTCTCCGAGTATTTTATTTCAAGTGTTTTCTCTTTCTCTCTCTCTCTCTCTCTTTCGCGAATCCGCTGGAAAAATTATCGAATTTTCTTCTAGAATTTATTATTCGCATTCTCTTGTCATGTGTAAAAATTTCATTCGAGATTCGCACTGATGTGGTTTATTTGTGATTCATTAATTTGTAGAACATTTTAGATTATTCTTAACATTATCTGAGCAGAGGGCTTAACAGTACCCTTTTTCTTATCAATTTGACACGTATCTTAAGGCCATGTTTAACGCGCATGCGCGAGAAAGCGTCCCCGAGAACAACACTGGTGGTGATCTCATATCCGCAAAACTGTGGCATTGGAAGCGGACTTTATATTCCGTTTGACATCGCGAGAGTTTTGATTAACCAATGAAAGCGAGAAGATCCTGGTCCCGATTGGTCAATCAAACGCGTCGAATGCTTCGTAGTGTCAAACGGAACGCATCCTATGTGCTCTCTTGTATAAAATTTCACGTAAGAATGCGCGATGCGCGACGCGAGGCAACCGGTTACCGGTTCTATGCGCGATACATGCGACGAACATATTGTCGCAATATCGGGCAATATCGGAGAATTGAACGAATTGGTGATGAAACATTTCATTGTCGCGACGCAATTCGTCTTACGCTAAATCCTCGTACAAGTACGGTCCGATATTCGTCTCTTTATTGTATTATATATTTATTATATTACATTTTGCTCAATAATAGTATCAAAGATCTGAAAACGTACAATCGACATGGAGGAGAAGATGTTGCAAATTCTTGAAGACGTTGGGTGAGTAGTCGCACATATTATATATCGCGAAAAATTCATGATATTCCAATATTTTAAATCTGAAAAAAGAATATAGAGAGGTTCTAAATAAAATAAATTATTATTCTATTATAATGATAATCTTGTCTCTTGTAATTTTTTTACTGAAAACACTGTAGAATACAAAGACTTACGTTTTTAATGATTTTATAGGTACACAGGGCCAATGCTTGACACCGACAAGCTATCACACGCCCTGAAACTTGGTGCAAAGTCGCCAGACTTCACTAGTCTTGTAGGTTGGTTTGCTGAACAACTTGCAACATTTATCGACACAGATGAGACTGTTCACGCTACAACAAGCGCAGACGATGCTAGTTCCTTTCTCTTAGAATTAAGCTTTTTTCTGAAAGAAATAGGATGTGTAAATGAGAAACTAATGACTGGACATGTAAATCAAAGACTGGCTAATGAATCTGAAAGAGCTATTCTGATAGAGTTCTTAGCTGCAGAACTTATGGCTTGTAAATTATTGGAAGTGAAATATCCTAAAGAGGAAAAACAGATGGAAGTTACTATTGTAAGTATTTTAAACAATAATAAATAATATTGGAGGATTATAATCTATACGTTATGTAGCATTGTAAATGATTCTAACTTGTGAATGACAATCAAAAAGCTAATGATATTGCTAGATATATATCTGACTATTCTCTATTTACAGGATGAGAGTGATACTGCAAGAAGCTTGAAAAATATTCTGGTAACACTAAAGTTTCAAAAACCACCAGACAATATTTTGCCTGAATTATTGTTCTCAAAACTAGAAACTAAATTATCAGAAGTACTAAAGACTGTGTCGTCTGATCATTTAGGGAAACCACTTATAGATATAGAGCTCTCTGCTAAGCAATGGGACGAATTGAGTAAATTACAAGAAGAAATGCACAAAGAGTACACAATTCGTCGTGAAATGTTACTTAAACGTCTTGATGTTACAGTTCAATCATTCTTGGTAAGAATTACTTTGTAAAACAAAAGTACTTTTTCATAAATGTAAATTAACGATTCTATTATATCGATCATTACACACTCAATGTACCACTCAACATGTAATAATTTTATTTATAGTGGTCGGACAGGATAAAGCTACAGGAAAAGGCAGTAAACACTAGATACGAGGAGAGAAGAAAGACTCTGAAAAACGAACCGAAGGTGATAATGGCCGATCTATTGGCAGCAAGAGACGATTTAGCTGTGATCGAAAAAATGAGTAACGCAAGTGTTCGCAAGAACACACGAAGCAAAGTCAACAGTGTCATTATCGGAGCAGTGCCAGACAGAGGTGGCAGACCATACGAACAAGAACCACCTCCACCAGAGATGCCACCATGGCAGAAGGACAGAGTTCAAGGACCACAATCATTCCGGTAAGAATCGATAAAAAGTTATATAAAGCAACTTTATACATTGGATCATAAGCAAAAAATAATAAAGCAATAATAAACTATATTTATTAACTGTACTATAATTACACAATGATATCTTTTTTCTCTTTTTTTTTTAGGGGCGGAAGAGGAGGAGGAGGCGGTGGAGATAGAGGTCACGGAGGTGGCAGGGGAGGAGGAAGCGGCGGCTATCGCGATCATAAAGACGCCGGTAGTAATTTCGGCCAAAACTTGGATTATCAGCAATCTCAATACTCCGGACATGGGCATAGAGAATGTTATCCGGATCATAGAGACACAGGAGGATATCAAAGAGGTGGCAGTGGTGGTGGTAGAGGAAGCGGAAATTATCGAGGAAATACCGGTGCGAATTATGGTCAAAATTACAATCAAAGTTATGACTATCAACAACCGCAGTATTCTGGCCAAAGAGATTCTTATGGAAATGACAATCGAAGCGGTGGAAACTATTATCAAGACAGGAGAGAAAGTGGAGGAAGGGAGGGAGGTGGAAGAGGAGGCAGAGTTCAAGGTGGATGGAATCAAGGTGGCAATAATTCTGGCATGAATAGTTATCAACGCGGCGGCTACAATAGAGGCAGGGGTCGACAATACTGAATTTTGATCATAACAAAGGCTTATATTACAAGCTATGATGATATTAAAATAATCATGTGATGATATTAATAATTACTATTATTCATGCTTATGCTTATAACTCATGTGTAACACAAAATGTATAAGTGTCTGGTCTTGAAATCTTTAAGTTTAAAATATCTCTAGATGAGGTAATAATTTTGAATTGTTATTTTTAGAACATGTTTAGTTAACAATATTTAAAAAATTGTAATATTACTGTTAAGAACTATTATGTATTACTCTCACACAAGGAGCATCACTTTTAAAATGACAGCTTTTAATTTCGTCATTATAATCAATTGAAACATGTGTATATATATAACTGCTATGTTTTCTACAAAAGCCAAGCATAATAAAAATACAATAATTATGTAAATATATATTTGTCCACTTGTCTAAAGTAGATGGTTGGAATTAATTTATAACATGAGATATAAAGACTGTAAATTAAACCATGAAAATACAATGAATTATGCAAATATATATAAAAATAACATACTAAATACAGTATTGCATATATATAATCCTCATTAAATCCTTAATGTTTGAAAATATTGCCTCACTTTCGCATACATTAGAAAATGATAATAATCTTTGGAAAAATACGTTTTTTATAATGCACATCTTTTTTTATCAAATAAATTAATTGTTATGTACTCAAGTTTGTGAAATGTAGCACATTGTTCCTTACATTAGAAGACTTACTCTATCTATAAACAATTGTGTGTGTTGAATGGATTATTAAAATTACTTTTCAAATATAAATTAAGAGATTTCTTATATAAATACAATTACAAAATGAAAAACAATGTGCTCCATGCATATGAAATATATTTTATAAATCTAGGTATATATATATATATATCTTTTTTACTTATGGTTAGTTTGTATTCTATTCTTTTATTTTTTTTTTCAGTTAATTTCTATCAAGATACAATTAAAAAGAGTAGTTGACATAAAATAATTAGTCAAGTAAATATTAAAATAATCAATATCGTCAAGAATCATCTTTTAATATTATTATATTATTATTATTATTATATTATTATATTATCTTTTAATGTTATTTTAATATTGACTTGGAAATACTTGATATACCGATCTTACAATTGTATGACATGATGTGATATGTGCTATTAGAGTTTTTGGTTTGAACAGGATAAAGGTTATACAAACGCGACTTCCATATTTTTATCATATTAATATTTTCCAAAAAATTCACATATTATCTCGCGTCATATTAAATTAATATGGCTATTCGTTTGCACATTAACAAAGAAGATTTAGCCAAGCAGGAGGAGTCTGAGTTACATCTTATGCCATGTAAAATTCACGGCGATGAAGGCGCGAATGTTTCCTCCTATTTCAAGCCTTACATTTGTAAGATTAACGAAGAACGTGAGTGATCAAATAGAGTTATACGCGTGTTATATACAGAAAATGCTTGTAATATTAATTTATCATGTTATTCTATAAAGATTACGATTGTTCGTTCCGTGGCTATCCACTTCAAGGGAAGAAAGTAATTGTACCTGCTGGATACAAAGGCATGACGTTTACAGAAAATAAGAAGGCAGACGCTGAAAATAAGATCCGTAATTTATATTGCACAGGAACGTTTTCACGATTCACATATTGGAATTACGATAAAATACCGTCTAAGAACGATGCTCTTGTAGCAGCGTTGGATTGGATTGACATAGCTGAAGCGGTGAGTACTTTCTTTACTTAGACAATTATGTTTTATTATAGCCATAATATCTATACTGATCTAATAATTTTTTTCAGTTACATTCATCAGAAACATAGTTGTAATACCAAAAGAGAAAATACAATTATTTAAAATTTAAATGGAAAATATAAAAAAAGTATCGTCTTGTTCGTGATAATATATTTTTATACTTTGATAGAAAAAAAAGATAATAAAGATAAATTCTTTTCTCTGTATCTAATATATACTTTTTACAGCATCATAATTGCATGATCATGCCACAAATAATGAGCATATGATGTAGGCATAAGAATCCATGACTGTAAAATGCATGAAGAAAGTGTAAAGAGAGATAGTGGTGGTATCAATATAATCTAATTAACAGCAATGTTTAAAGAAACGGAATTTCCTATTTAGACATTTGTGGACTTCTTTTTTTTTTAAATATAGTAATACGATATGTGTGAATGCATTCTGCAGATCTTTTTAATAATACTGAGGTATATGAGATTTGTACAACTAATTCAGAACTTTGTGTGTGAATACCATCATAAATTACAAAAATTCTTACATTCGTTCGTTCTCTTACATTCTAAATTATAGTAAGTTTCTGTCTCGATATAACGCGAAATAATAAATAAGATAAAATATTTCTATCTGTGATATACTTTTCCCGCTCGTACACGCACGTTGCTTACTATAAGTATCGCTAATAAAATAACTTTAGGTTCTAGAGGACCTATTTACAGTAATAACAATTACAAGTTTCTAAGAAGCTAAAACCAGCAAAGTGAAGCCTTAGGCGAACTAGGAAGGTGTCCAACAAGTGGCATTGAATAATACCTGCCTACTATTTTCGTGATTTAATCTTTTTTTTACGCTAGACGTATGCGATCACATTAGTTTATAATATAGTATATATTATTTCCGATGAAAATCTTATTATGCCTTAAATTAAACTTTGTTTGCGTTTAACATTATATGGGTGTGTACGATTCTACACTAATATTTATGGATACTCGTGAAATTATATAGAGAATTACAATGGATAAATAATTCACACACGATTCTCCTTCCTATTGCATAATACTTGCGACTCTCTCCGTTTCTCTTTTGTACCCTGATTTCAAATGTGTATTTTCATATACACATATTGAGACGAATGAATTTCTTAGAACGTGAGATATGTTCCGTTTGAACATGCAAATTGGAAAACTGATTTCGTAAAATTCTTTCGCGTGGAAACTCACATCTTTAGCAGTATGACTGTGACACATTCGTGTTTCAAGAAACATCATTTGTATAAAGTACAAGACGAGCTGCAACGAGCAGTATATAAATAGAATGCGTATTAATCTTTGGTATTGTCCGCGCGTTTCTGTATAATATGATAGATCTTTTATCCAATTCGATATACCTAGTCAAAAAACTGAGTTAGTAAAAAACACCAACTTGTGTATATAATCATATATATATATATGACTTTATATTAAATGCATTTAGTGCCACTATTGATACTTTGCGCCATCGTTGATTAATGAAGGATATATCTGAGCATCCATATATGCTATCTTAGTTATGTGAATTTACAAAATACATTTGTAATACCAATATATGTCAAGTTATTTAGGCCAAAGAATCCCAGTCAATTTGTGATAGCGTGTATCGAATATATGCACATAGCCTACAGAATTGATCTCCGATACACTCTGGAATGAAAATATTATCACTCCTGTATTATATAGAATCATTGGCAACACGAGAAAGTGTGCATATTTTATGAATGAAAAGTACACTTTACATTATCCTCATTAACACTATAATAAGAAAAACGGAATAGTCAAATTATTACAATCTCAACTGGAATTTCCTTTCTTTGGCGTTTTAATAATACTGAGGTATATGAGATTTGTACAACTAATTCAGAACTTTGTGTGTGAATACCATCATAAATTACAAAAATTCTTACATTCGTTCGTTCTCTTACATTCTAAATTATAGTAAGTTTCTGTCTCGATATAACGCGAAATAATAAATAAGATAAAATATTTCTATCTGTGATATACTTTTCCCGCTCGTACACGCACGTTGCTTACTATAAGTATCGCTAATAAAATAACTTTAGGTTCTAGAGGACCTATTTACAGTAATAACAATTACAAGTTTCTAAGAAGCTAAAAATAGGCCCGCTGTGTATCACTTTGTTTCACTTATGCAAAAACTCTCTAACGTTTACATGTAAAATTGCAAGAAATGCTTTATAGAGAGACGTTTAGCTTTGTTACTATACTGTTCATGTATTAAGCTAAACATATTTTAATCACATCTTATACATAATCAGACGGGTATGAGTGCCTGCCTGCTCGATTTTACATTAAGGTCAGCAAAGTGAAGCCTTAGGCGAACTAGGAAGGTGTCCAACAAGTGGCATTGAATAATACCTGCCTACTTTTTCGTGATTTAATCTTTTTTTTACGCTAGACGTATGCGATCACATTAGTTTATAATATAGTATATATTATTTCCGATGAAAATCTTATTATGCCTTAAATTAAACTTTGTTTGCGTTTAACATTATATGGGTGTGTACGATTCTACACTAATATTTATGGATACTCGTGAAATTATATAGAGAATTACAATGGATAAATAATTCACACACGATTCTCCTTCCTATTGCATAATACTTGCGACTCTCTCCGTTTCTCTTTTGTACCCTGATTTCAAATGTGTATTTTCATATACACATATTGAGACGAATGAATTTCTTAGAACGTGAGATATGTTCCGTTTGAACATGCAAATTGGAAAACTGATTTCGTAAAATTCTTTCGCGTGGAAACTCACATCTTTGGCAGTATGACTGTGACACATTCGTGTTTCAAGAAACATCATTTGTATAAAGTACAAGACGAGCTGCAACGAGCAGTATATAAATAGAATGCGTATTAATCTTTGGTATTGTCCGCGCGTTTCTGTATAATATGATAGATCTTTTATCCAATTCGATATACCTAGTCAAAAAACTGAGTTAGTAAAAAACATCAACTCGTGTATATAATATATAATATATATAAAGAAGAAAATAAAATTGACACAATTTTATGTTTCGTAATTAAAATCTATAAAATTTATAAAAGTAAGCTGTTAAATAATGCGCACTCTGTACACTCAGAAGAGAAACAAATATCAAAATCAAATTTTATACTATTTATACGTGTTGAAACGTGTCTATAATTCATTGGTTTGGTCCTGATGAAACTTGTTCTGATCCTGTTGCTGCTTGATAAAAGCGCTGAGTCTGTTCAATAAGAATTGCTTATCGTGGCCTTCTAATACCAACTGATTCTTCAACACCGTCACCATATGCTTGTTCGCTATTGACACCGCGTAATAGTAATAGAGGAGCAGAGCGAGAATGACGAAGGCCGGTATCCCGAAGCCAGCCGTACTCAAGAAAGATAGAGTCGACTGCAGCCAGTCAGGGAAGTGCGAAAACGTCGCGATTAAAAACGTCCACACGGACTCCCATTCGCGAAATGGCCCGCACGATTTCGACGGCATGATCTTCGCGATGAAGTAGCCGACCGGTATCACCGCCAGGATAAAGGAGACTAGCAGGATGAACATGAACAGAGAATTCGATCTGCTCGCGCGATAAATCTTACTCGATGGTGTACTGTTCACTAAACAGGTAAATTTCTTCAGGTAGAACAGCACCATCATGCCGAATATGGCGTTCAGCATTAATAATGGGACGAAGAAGCAGCCGAGCCAGCATATCATTTGCAAGTAGATAATATCCAGCACATGTTTGGGCAGGTCAAATTCCTGCTCGCAGACGAAGCGCAAAACCTTGTTCTCGGTGTGTCGCGCGATCAATGAACGCGGGTAATTGACGAAGAACGTCATGAAGAATTGAATGATGAGATCGGTGGCGTATAGCTTGAAGAATTGCTGTCCTACAAACGATTCCCAGCATAACGGCTGTTTGTTCGCGCTGTTGGCGCATTCGTTTTCCGGAACTTTGTCGGCAGCAAGTCTGTACAGAAACGTTAACAGAACAACGAGAGAAGCGAGTCGAAGAAACACGTTTCTGAACAGTGTCACTCGAACGACGTATGACGGACTGTAGTTTTCTAGAGCGACCAGATAGCGAAAGAGAAATGGAATCGCTATATTGAATCCAACGATGCATATATATGGAAGAAATTCGAAGAATAAACGAGCGATGTCGGACATCTCGTGATCCGGCTCTAAGTATATCCAATGGCACTGACACTGTGCCAGCTGACTGAACGAGAAGTCGATCACGTAGTAAATGAACGCGCCGCATGCACTTAATATCGTTAAAACCAATAGATTAACGAATAGACGTATAAAGAAGAGCTTCGTTTTCTCCTCCCTCGTGCGATTCTGCCGCTCCTCTTCCATTCTCTCTGCCTCCAGGAATGCTTTCATAGCGTTATACAGCGCCTTATGCTTCACGGCAGCGGATTTCTCATTATGAATGCAATAATCCCAACCGCCGAATATCAGATTACAATATTGATAAAATTGTCCCTCACCTTCTACGATTCTTTCCTTGAAACCTTTGGCGGCCGATCGGACGATCGCTATTAGGCTAACGATGAAGACACTGATGATGGTACAGATGTAGGACAGCGGTGAATTGTAATAGAAGTTGACACCTACACTCTCGTAAATCGTATGCGTATACCAGCCGTAATAATATGGACTGTACTCAGCTAAGCTGCCCTGCACGAAATTGGTAGGATTACTTTTGCTGGTCATATTCCGGTACAATTCGGAGCAACACGCTATGCTGGCAGTGTTGTTAGATGAACATATTTCGTTCACGGGCGTCTCAAGCAAGAACGCTGGCAGCTCTATCAGTAAGAATATAATTGCAAACAGAAACAGATTCAGATGCATCAACCACTTAATGAATAAAAAATACGCCACTATACCCATTCCAAATTTTCCGCCTATTATCTTGAGACTGTAGCTCCACAGCTCCATCTTGGACCAAGTCTCCTTCATTCTTATTTGAAATTGCTGCCAAGCCTTCCTGCGCTGCCATTTCAGTTGTTCGAAGCCTTGAAGTCTCAACTTTGTGGCGCTCTGAGATATGCACGGATAAGATTAATATCCAAGTTCTATTAATTGTATCATATAAAAGAGATAAGAGTTTTCCAAAATACCTGCAACTGGTTTTTCAATTGTATCTTTTGAGACATGCATACAGGCATAGCCTTGATCTGCATAATTTCCTCCCAGGTACGCTCTTCATTGGACAAATTTTCCGAGAGATCTGGTAGCATAGATACTGCCGCATCGTGTATATTGGTTGACATACGCCTTGACGTTGTAGTGCCACGAGATCGAGTGCTCGTGCGTCTTCTCAATGTTGTCTTTGTGTCATTTCGAATTCGTTTGGCTGTGGCTGCATTAAATATACAGGTGTAAGATGTAGGTGAAAAAATGCTTTCTAAGTTTAAACTTACCAACACGAGACTTCTTGCTGGGAAGTAAAGTGGCTATATGCGAAGGATCCCTCTGTAGAGCCTGTTGCAGATCTGCTTCTATAGCTGCTGGATAACTCTCCTGATAGAACTCAGCACCAGCCTCTTCCCACCCGTGCCCTCTATCGCAGCCTCTTTTCTTTCTTTCTCCGCCCGACATTTTTAATCTTTAGAATATAATTGGGGTATAATTCAAGTCAGAATCAGGTGTAAATAATCACGATCTTCAAACATTCAGTTTTGCATAATTTGTATCGCTCGACACATGACTTCAACAATTATCTTCCATTCGTTTCTCCAATTCAAAATCTCTCGTTTAATTTTTACATACTATTTAAAAGCAGCCACAGGTAATATTGTTCGGACGACGATGACATATATCAACTAAAAAGAAAAATCGACTATTATTGACGTGAATGTATCACTTTCTCTCAGGGTGCATACCACCAGCGTTACGCATACACACGTATCTATTCGATGCAAGCTATCGTTTTGACAGCTTTCAGACCGTCATGATCGGCGTGGATTTTTCGTCGGTCGATACTTTGATAACAGTGTCCTATGCAACAATTTATCTTCAGCTAACGACGGTATCGTGCTTTCAGGTCGCTGATAACAGATGCGCCGCTTCGCACAACACAGCTTCGACAGCACGTGCAACCCTCATGAGGAATTGTCTCATGGAGATTGGATCAACATGATGGATGATGCCGGGTTTGGCACTTCTCAGATCTCAGAATCGCGACAGACGGACGGAAACATCGTGGAGCCTTGTCGCAGCTGATTAGTATCTTGTTTGTCCCGCACGTCAAATGTCAAACTCGGAGCAGACGGCTAATAATGGCCGCGTTCAGCAGAGAAAGCGCTCAGTTATCGTCTTGTCAACACTCGACGTTGATTCGTTGGTTCTAAAAGTAAGAACCAATCACATTCGATTGCTACTAAGCGGTTTTCTCTGCTGAACGCGGCCAATAAGAGGCTGCCGAATAACGAGAACCTAGATGGCGTCACGATAAATTTGTATGGACACTTCGAAGAAAAAAATATTTATATAGTAGCGGCCCTCTATTCTGGATATCTTTATTCTGAATACTTCTCTATTCTAAATATTTTCCTATTCTGAAACAACTGTAAAATTTTTTTTTGCGCTTTATATAATTACTTCATCTCATATAACACTATTAATAATAAATATTATGATATGTACCGATCTTACAGTTGTATGGCATGATGTGATATCTGCTATTAGAGTTTAGTTTGAACAGGATAAAGGTTACACAAACGCGATTTCCATATTTTTATCATATTAATATTTTCCAAAAAATTCACATATTATCTCGTGTCATATTAAATTAATATGGCTATTCGCTTGCACATTAAAGAAGATTTAGCCAAGCAGGAGGAGTCTGAGTTACATCTTATGCCATGTAAAATTCACGGCGATGAAGTCGCGAATGTTTCTTCCTATTTCAAGCCTTACATTTGTAAGATTGACGAAGAACGTGAGTGATCAAATAGAGTTATACGCGTGTTATATACAGAAAATGCTTGTAATATTAACTTATCATGTTATTCTATAAAGATTACGATTGTTCGTTCCGTGGCTATCCACTTCAAGGGAAGAAAGTAATTGTACCTGCTGGATACAAAGGCATGACGTTTACAGAAAATAAGAAGGCAGACGCTGAAAATAAGATCCGTAATTTATATTGCACAGGAACGTTTTCACGATTCACATATTGGAATTACGATAAAATACCGTCTAAGAACGATGCTCTTGTAGCAGCGTTGGATTGGATTGACATAGCTGAAGCGGTGAGTACTTTCTTTACTTAGACAATTATGTTTTATTATAGCCATAATATCTATACTGATCTAATAATTTTTTCAGTTACATTCATCAGAAACGTAGTTGTAATACCAAAAGAGAAAATACAATTATTTGAAATTTAAATGGAAGATATAAAAAAAGTATCGTCTTGTTTGTGATAATATATTTTTATACTTTGATAGAAAAAGGATATAATAAAGATAAATTCTTTTCTCTGTATCTAACATATATTTTTACAGCATCATAATTGCATGATTATGCCACAAATAATGAGCATATGATGTAGGCATAAGAGTCTATGACCGTAAAATGCATGAAGAAAGTGTAAAGAGAGATAGTGGTATCAATATAATCTAACTAACAGCAATGTTTAAAAAAACGGAGTTTCCTATTTAGATATTTGTGGACTTCTTTTTTTTTTAATATAGTAATACAATATGTGTGAATGCATTCTGCAGATCTTTTTTTCTGAAAGACATAAATTCGTTTTGCATAAGATTACCATATATATATATGACTTTATATTAAATGCATTTAGTGCCACTATTGATACTTTGCGCCATCGTTGATTAATGAAGGATATATCTGAGCATCCATATATGCTATCTTAGTTATGTGAATTTACAAAATACATTTGTAATACCAATATATGTCAAGTTATTTAGGCCAAAGAATCCCAGTCAATTTGTGATAGCGTGTATCGAATATATGCACATAGCCTACAGAATTGATCTCCGATACACTCTGGAATGAAAATATTATCACTCCTGTATTATATAGAATCATTGGCAACACGAGAAAGTGTGCATATTTTATGAATGAAAAGTACACTTTACATTATCCTCATTAACACTATAATAAGAAAAACGGAATAGTCAAATTATTACAATCTCAACTGGAATTTCCTTTCTTTGGCGTTTTAATAATACTGAGGTATATGAGATTTGTAGAACTAATTCAGAACTTTGTGTGTGAATACCATCTTAAATTACACAAATTCTTACATTCTAAATTATAGTAAGTTTCTGTCTCGATATAACGCGAAATAATAAATAAGATAAAATATTTCTATCTGTGATATACTTTTCCCGCTCGTACACGCACGTTGCTTACTATAAATATCGCTAATAAAATAACTTTTTAGGTTTTAGAGGACTTATTTACAGTAATAACAATTACAAGTTTCTAAGAAGCTAAAAATAGGCCCGCTGCGTATCACTTTGTTTCACTCATGTAAAAGCTCTCTAACGTTTACATGTAAAATTGTGGAAGAAATGCTTGTCTTTATAGAGAAACGGTTTTAGTTCTGTTACTATACTGTTCATATATTAAGCTAAACATATTTTAATCACATCTTATACATAATCAGACATGTATGAGTGCCTGCCTGTTCGATTTTATACTGAGGCATGCTTGTTCGCTATTGACACCGCGTAATAGTAATAGAGGAGCAGAGCGAGAATGACGAAGGCCGGTATGCCGAAGCCAGCCGTACTAAGGAAAGACAGAATCGACTGCAGCCAGTCAGGGAAGTGCGAAAACGTCGCGATTAAAAACGTCCACACGGACTCCCATTCGCGAAATGGCCCGCACGATTTCGACGGCATGATCTTCGCGATGAAGTAGCCGACCGGTATCACCGCCAGGATAAAGGAGACTAGCAGGATGAACATGAACAGAGAATTCGATCTGCTCGCGCGATAAATCTTACTCGATGGTGTGCTGTTCACTAAACAGGTAAATCTCTTCAGATAGAACAGCATAATCATGCCGAATATGGCGTTGATCACTAATAATGGGGCGAAAAAGTAGCCGAGCCAGCAGATCATTTGCAAGTAGATAATATCCAGCACGTGTTTGGGCAGGTCAAATTCCTGCTCGCAGACGAAGCGCAAAACCTTGTTCTCGGTGTGTCGCGCGATCAATGAACGCGGGTAATTGACGAAGAACGTCATTAACAATTGAATGAAGAGATCGGTGGCGTACAGTTTGAAGAACTGCTGTCCTACGAACGATTCCCAGCATAACGGCTGTTTGTTCGCGCTATTGGCGCATTCGTTTTCCGGAATTTTGTCGGCGGCAAGTCTGTACAGAGACGTTAACAGAACGACGAGAGAAGCGAGTCGAAGAAACACGGTTCTGAACAGTGTCACTCGAACGACGTACGACGGACTGTAGTTTTCTAGAGCGACCAGATAGCGAAAGAGAAATGGAATCGCCACATTGAATCCAACGATGCATATGTATGGAAGAAATTCGAAGAATAAACGAGCGATGTCGGACATCTCGTGATCCGGCTCTAAGTATATCCAATGGCACTGACACTGTGCCAGCTGACTGAACGAGAAGTCGATCACGTAGTAAATGAACGCGCCGCATGCACTTAATATCGTTAAAACCAATAGATTAACGAATAGACGTATAAAGAAGAGCTTCGTTTTCTCCTCCCTCGTGCGATTCTGCCGCTCCTCTTCCATTCTCTCTGTCTCCAGTAATGCTTTCATCGCGTTATACAGCGCCTTATGCTTCACGGCAGCGGATTTCTCATTATGAATGCAATAATCCCAACTGCCGAATATCAGATTACAATATTGATAAAATTGACCCTCACCTTCTACGATTCTTTCCTTGAAACCTTTGGCGGCCGATCGGACGATCGCTATTAGGCTAACGATGAAGACACTGATGATGGTACAGATGTAGGACAGCGGTGAATTGTAATAGAAGTTGACATCTACACTCTCGTAATTCGTATGCGTATACCAGCCATAAAAATATGGACTGTACTCATCTAAGCTGCCCTGCACGAAATTGGTATGATCACTTTTACTGGTCATATTACTGTACAATTCGGAGCAACACGCTATGCTGGCAGTGTTGTTAGACGAACATATTTCGTTCACGGGCGTCTCAAGTAAGATCGTTGGCAGCATTATCAGTAAGAATATAATTGCAAATAGAAACAGATTCAAATGCATCAACCACTTGATGAATAAAAAATACGCCACTATACCTATTCCAAAATTTCCGCCTATTATTTTGAGACTGTAGCTCCACAGCTCCATCTTGGACCAAGTCTCCTTCATTCTTATGCGAAATTGTTGCCAAGCTTTCCTGCGCTGCCATTTCAGTTGTTCGAAGCCTTGAAGTCTCAACTTTGTGGCACTCTGAGATATGTACGGATAAAGATTAATATCCAAGTTGTATTAATTGTATCATATAAAGAGATAAGTGTTTTCCAAAATACCTGCAACTGGTTTTTCAATTGTATCTTTTGAGACATGCATACAGGCATAGCCTTGATCTGCATAATTTCCTCCCAGGTACGCTCTTCATTGGACAAATTTTCCGAGAGATCTGGTAGCATAGATACTGCCGCATCGTGTATATTGGTTGACATACGCCTTGACGTTGTAGTGCCACGAGATCGAGTGCTCGTGCGTCTTCTCAATGTTGTCTTTGTGTCATTTCGAATTCGTTTGGCTGTGGCTGCATTCAATATACAGGTGTAAGATGTAGGTGAAAAAATTTATTCGCAACTGCTTTCTAAGTTTAAACTTACCAACACGAGACTTCTTGCTGGGAAGTAAAGTGGCTATATGCGAAGGATCCCTCTGTAGAGCCTGTTGCAGATCTGCTTCTATAGCTGCTGGATAACTCTCCTGATAGAACTCAGCACCAGCCTCTTCCCACCCGTGCCCTCTATCGCAGCCTCTTTTCTTTCTTTCTCCGCCCGACATTTTTAATCTTTAGAATATAATTGGGGTATAATTCAAGTCAGAATCAGGTGTAAATAATCACGATCTTCAAACATTCAGTTTTGCATAATTTGTATCGCTCGACACATGACTTCAACAATTATCTTCCATTCGTTTCTCCAATTCAAAATCTCTCGTTTAATTTTTACATACTATTTAAAAGCAGCCACAGGTAATATTGTTCGGACGACGATGACATATATCAACTAAAAAGAAAAATCGACTATTATTGACGTGAATGTATCACTTTCTCTCAGGGTGCATACCACCAGCGTTACGCATACACACGTATCTATTCGATGCAAGCTGTCGTTTTGACAGCTTTCAGACCGTCATGATCGGCGTGGATTTTTCGCCGGTCGATACTTTGATAACAGTGTCCTATGCAACAATTTATCTTCAGCTAACGACGGTATCGTGATTTCAGGTCGCTAATAACGGACGCGTCGCTTTACACAAGACAGCTTCGACAGCGCGTGCAAGCCTCATGAGGAATTCTCTCGTGGAGATTGGATCAACGTGGTGGATGATGCCGCGTTTGGCGCTTCTCAGATCTCAGAATCGCGACGGACGAAGACATCGCGGAGCTTTGTCGCAGCTGATTAGTATCTTGTTTGTCCCGCACGTCAAATGTCAAACTCGGAGCAGACGGCTAATAATGGCCGCGTTCAGCAGAGAAAGCGCTCAGTTATCGTCTTGTCAACACTCGACGTTAAAAAAATTAAATAAAAAAAAAAAAAAAAATCAACTATTATTGACGTGAATAAATCACTTTCTCTCAGAGTGCATACCACCAGTGTTACGCATACACACGTACCTATTCGATGCAAGCTGTCATTTTGACAGCTTTTAGACTGTCGTGATCGGCGCGGATTTTTCGCCGATCGATACTTTGATAACAGTGTCCTATGCAACAATTTATCTTCGGCTAACGACGGTATCGTGATTTCAGGTCGCTAATAACGGACGCATCGCTTTACACAAGACAGCTTCGACAGCGCGTGCAAGCCTCATGAGGAATTCTCTCGTGGAGATTGGATCAACGTGGTGGATGATGCCGCGTTTGGCGCTTCTCAGATCTCAGAATCGCGACGGACGAAGACATCGCGGAGCTTTGTCGCAGCTGATTAGTATCTTGTTTGTCCCGCACGTCAAATGTCAAACTCGCAGCAGACGGCTAATAATAAGAGCCTGCCGAATAACGAGAACCTAGATGGCGTTACGATAGATTTTTATGGATACTTCGAAGAAAAAAATATTTATACAGTAGAGACTCTCTATTCTGGGTACCTTTATTCTGAAGCAATTGTAAAATTTTTTTTTGCACTTTATATGTAATTGCGAAATCATGTAATTATATGGGTAGAGCGAATGAAAGACAAAATATACACATGTAAATTTATTACGCGCGGCATTTGCTGACAATAATTTGTAGCAAGCACTTGGCAATATCTGTTAGAACAGACGTGGCTGACTGGGTATATATATATATATATGCAAATGCCGCGCGTAATAAATTTACATGTGTATATTTTGTCTTTCATTCGCTCTACCCATATAATTACATGATTTCGCAATTACATATAAAGTGCAAAAAAAAATTTTACAATTGCTTCAGAATAAAGGTACCCAGAATAGAGAGTCTCTACTGTATAAATATTTTTTTCTTCGAAGTATCCATAAAAATCTATCGTAACGCCATCTAGGTTCTCGTTATTCGGCAGGCTCTTATTATTAGCCGTCTGCTGCGAGTTTGACATTTGACGTGCGGGACAAACAAGATACTAATCAGCTGCGACGAAGCTCCGCGATGTCTTCGTCCGTCGCGATTCTGAGATCTGAGAAGCGCCAAACGCGGCATCATCCACCACGTTGATCCAATCTCCACGAGAGAATTCCTCATGAGGCTTGCACGCGCTGTCGAAGCTGTCTTGTGTAAAGCGACGCGTCCGTTATTAGCGACCTGAAATCACGATACCGTCGTTAGCCGAAGATAAATTGTTGCATAGGACACTGTTATCAAAGTATCGATCGGCGAAAAATCCGCGCCGATCACGACAGTCTAAAAGCTGTCAAAATGACAGCTTGCATCGAATAGGTACGTGTGTATGCGTAACACTGGTGGTATGCACTCTGAGAGAAAGTGATTTATTCACGTCAATAATAGTTGATTTTTTTTTTTTTTTTAGTTAATATATGTCATCGTTTACAATGCACAAAAATCAGGATTTTTTTTTTTTTTTTTTTTTTTCGAAGGAAGAGAAAAATGCATTATGCATTCCCACCGGCCGGTCCGGTGGGATATGCGGGACTCGCACCCGCTAAAAAACTCTCCCTGCAGAGCCAATCTTTGGCTTTCCGCCGATACTTACATAAATTTAATTCTGAGATATCGAGAACATGATAGGCACAAGAAAAATAATACAAATAAAAACCTCAAATTTAAAATTTTAAAAATTCCAACTTTATTTTCTTTTCTCATTTACAGTATGGTCGATTTTTGACACCAATTTGTCGATTTAATCAATAACAACAATTTCTGTATCAAATTTGTAACTTTTTTACTGACACCAGTTGATAGCAGACATTTGGCATGATCTGCTTTCGACAAATTGGTTATTTGGGTATATAGAGAATTGGGGAAAGATTTCAGTATACAGATGAGGGTACAATCAAATGCAACAAGATCCTTTTAATATTTTTGTCGATATACATTTAATCTCTGTGTATCATAACAATACAGAATCTCCGAAAATATACTTTTTGACGAGAAGCTTAAAGTATATATATTGTGCGTTAGAAAAACGATAGGCGTCTCATGAAAAATATATATCTACGATTTGTCGTCTCACGATGTGGAGGCGGCAAAATAACACTTTATCCGGACGATATCCGGTGCGCTGCGATCAAGAATACATATAGCGTAAACATATACATTTATAGCCGAGCTATATATGTATTGCCGTTTAATTTGCTCTCTCTTCCTATAACGTGCGACCGCAATTATACTCTGTGCGAAAAGCAGACGCTTGCGTATAGACGATAGTGCGTTCAGCGCATATCGCCGGCTTATCGGTCAGTTCTACAGCATTCTTCGCGTAAATGTTGTCGACTTACAATGTAACTACAGACTAGTTTGCACACTTGAGATTCCTTCTCCATATTTCTCAATAAATACGTAGATTTCTATTAAAAAAAAATTGACAACTCAGAAAAGGTCTTCGCGCAAATAATTGATTCTGTCTATTTGTTTTATGTTGTTTTTTTTTTTATAACGATATGAAACTTTGTAACATGATTGAGATCGCCGTCTTCTTCAAAGCTATGTCTTCTCCGCAAAACTGCCGATAAGTCGACGACTCCCAACGAATTTCCGTTCGGGGCCGGGAAGTTACCCTCGATGTTTATTGCCCGACCATGATCTCGTACTCGGGGAAGGCAACCTCGGAGCCGCCGAAAGGTATGTAACAAACGCTATGGGAAGGCTGCACCTTGCCGATGGTCAAAGTGCCCTCGTGGGATACGCGACCAACGAACAGCGGCTCGCCATCCTCTGTCTCACCACCCGGAATCGCGTTCGGTGGGATGTTGTTGCCGCTCGTCGGCACCCATGTGGGGTTGCAGCTGCAAAGGACCTACAGAAGAGAGACAAGATGAATAATGAGAATAATTCTCTGTACAAAATTAGAAATTTTCTTAAACATGTAGCTTTGTAAATACGCGATGCAATTACAAAATGTTTGACTATTGAAAATCTATTCTCTTAAATGGAATCAGTGTGTTATCACTAAAAAGCAATAAATAGTGACTTATAATTTCAGAGTTACAGTTATTGTAAATAGTAAAATCTCATTGAAAGAATCGGTTAGTGGCTGTTTCAATCAACTGTGGTATTTTATATGCAGAGAGAGAGAGAGAGAGAGAGAGAATGCGTTCTATAATATTACATATAAAATAAAATATATGTATATTTTGTTAAAAAAAATACCCGAGTTTTTTTTATAAAGAGTCTTATTCATTTTTTTGTCATCTTAACTGTAAGATAGTGTATAATATGTATATAATTCTAAATTTTTTTAAATATTAGTTATACGTATTTTATTATATATGTGTATGAGGACTCTCCCCTTCCAAAAAAACAATCCAAAATAAATAGAAAAAGTTTTAAAAGTTATATCTTGCAAATATGTACAATTATTACCGATTTTTTAATGAAATCTTACTGCTATAATCAACCAAATATAAGATGGTGAATCAAATAAGTATTTTTACTGAAGATCAATGAAATATTTATTTCTCGCTGAAATCTTGTGTGCTATGATTAGTGATACTTTCATTGATTTAGTTTAAGAGAATTTCTAGAATCTCGATATGAATTTTCTCCATAAATCCTCCATCCAATAGCTAACATAAGTCTAACAAATATTGTATACGAGTGTAATCCTTGGATGTCTGTGTTAATCGCATTTCATGATAATCAATCTAATTAATCCGGTTAATTAATTAATCTTTAGTTTGGATTTATACTCACTTGGTAATCAGTCTTTCCATGCTCTTCGCCGCCCCAGGCGATGTAGCAAACGGAGTGGCTGGGCTTCACCTTGCCGGGAATAAGAGCACCCTCATGATGAGCCCTACCGACGAACAAGGGCCCGTCGTCGTTTCCACCCTCGACCGCGTCAGGCGGTACCATTCCGCCGGACGCGTCGCACCAGCACACGCTTCCCGCGTCGAGTCCACGGACTTCCAGCGGTGCGGACGGCGCCGTGCTAGAATCTATAATCACATTTTCACGCTTAACAAATAATGCGCAAAGAATCTTCTGTATTACATATATACACGCTTCCCGCGTCGAGTCCACGGACTTCCAGCGGTGCGGACGGCGCCGTGCTAGGATCTATAATCACATTTTCATTATTTTAACAAATAATGCGCAAAGAATCTTCTGTATTACATATTGGCACGATAAAAAATATCAGAAGATAATATAATACAGCAATGCAAATATCGTCATCCAATCAAGCTATATTAATTGTCTATACGTAAGCTATGTGCTATGAAATTTCATGCGGTTAATAGAGTACGTGTTTGAGAAATAAAATGAAAAATGAAAATCACAAAACCCAGATAAGTATGCTACAAATATCAATTGACAAAATGACAGAGAGAAATATTAGGAGTGTCTTTTATTAATTGAACGCGTGCATGAGGGCGTATACGGATTTAACATCGCAGCCAAGCAAGGAGATTTATTCACTTGACGATCTCGAGATTGCGTTAATGCCGTTTATTAATCGCGGAAAATTATTGCGCAACGTGATGTCATCTTTCGGCATTGACGCCGATCTCGTATCGCCGTCCAGAGAGAAAGAGAGAAAGAGAGACGTGTCCAGAGAGAGATTATTACGTTTCTTCTGATCGGTAACTGCGGGATATTGTTCAAAACGGAGTTTCCAGTCTCCGGTCGCGCCCCAACTGGTGCGCACCCCCACGTAGCTCACGCCGATGGGATTCGGGTCCCGCCATTCCATAAGGATGGCACCGCTCTGACCGCCCGATCTGACCGTGACGAGGCCCTCGAGCCACGTAATCAAGAACCTCTTGTGCTCGCGCTCGCTGAGCAGATTCGGCGTGTCCACGCGCACCTGGAC